ATATATATAAAGTTGCCATATTGTTATGTTTTTAAGAAGAAATGGAAGTTATTTTATATATAAATAAATTAACGAACATCTCACTGGATACGGATTGGCAAACATACTGTGCAGTCAACTGCTGCACAGTGCGATCAAACAATTTCACTCAGCAACAAAAACGAACAAATGAACAATTAGCAAATCACTCAATCGCAAGTTATACTTTGGAGCGAAATATCGTAAATTTAATAAATTATAACGGGTTAACAAGCGAATTATTCAGTAGAAATAACACATCAATAAAGAATGAAAGTGAAAAAGGTATGAAGAGCCCAGCACCGTTCGTCTAATTATCACGTGACAAATCCAAACTGACGCGATCGAGTGACTGATCCAATATGGACACTTAGTAGAACTTCGCCTTATCGGGTCTTGCTCTATAATCAGTTAAATATCAGTGTTCGATGAGATGACAGCGAGCAGCAATTACTGCAACTGCAAATTTGCGCTTTTTTCTATCGAATTTTAAACGATTTCTGCAACGAACCATAAAACAGAAAAATGAACAGCTGACTCACTTTAACCATATAAGACCAACAAGTGTACAACTCTGAACAGCTATAATGACCAAAAAGAACGTTGAGGTGAGACAAGTCACATTCGGACAACTGCCACCTGGTTGGCCACTCTGAAACATTTTTTCAAATGGACGCCTTGAAGTTTGCACCCCGGAAACAAGCGAAGTCACGATAACGATCTGCTGTTGTTTGAAAACATTCTTAACAGAAACACTTCGGTTATTCGCAATTACACAAAAAAAAAACAAATCATCCAAACCTGGGCAAGTTGTGAGCTCCGTATGTGTCTGACATCATTTTGAATATTTTCTAAGAATTGCTTTATTGCTGCATCAGATTGTACCATAGCACCAGTTGGCGCTGTTGATCCTCCAGCTGCCAATTTTTGTTCCATATTATAAGTTCGTGTGAAGATTTCATTCACATAGTTCTTCATGTCACGCACACTCGAGAAGAGATCGCGAAGTGTCTACAATTCGTTGATTGATTATTCATTTGTCAGGCAAATTGTTGATCGAACGAAAAGAGGATAGCAAGACTGCATTCAGCGATAACAAATCAAGTATGATAACCCGACCGGCTCTTTCAGATAAACGAAAAAGGTCAATGTGATATGTGATGAAATATGCATCATCAAATGACATCACTTCAATTTTACATGAAACAATCATACGACTCATCACCTGTAATGCTTCATTCTTCTCATGTTGTAGAAAGCCTCCTCCCGCTGCAACTTGCCCTGCACCACCACCCTGTTGTTGAGCACCGCCTGCGACCGCTCCTTGTTGCAGCATAGACGTGTGAACGTTTTGCTGTTGACTGCAAATATGCAGTTTTATTCATTTATCGCACTGAGGCGGGCAATAAAAACTTACAATCCAAGTTCGTCTCATCAAAAGATCGCTCTATATTTCTGGTGGTTTCTTAATTTCTCCTCACAAACAAAAACTATTGATCACATGAAGCGAGTAGTTTAATTATGAGTCTCTTCATGATAAAAGACGAAATTTGAAGAAAATAATAACAACCAACAATAGTAACACATAATAACCAAAATAAGCGAACAACCTGATTGCGTTAAGTTTTTGCTCCATTTGTTGCATTATTTGGTGTATAGCCGTTTGACTTTCGTATATCATTCTCAATTCTTTTTGAGTTGCATCTTCGAAATACTTAGCAATATCCTCTTCGGTTTCATCAAGTTTTACCTTATCTGGATGCTGTTCTTTGAATCTGAAAGAAAAGAAAACATATTTTATGCACCTGATTGGCCACTGTCTACACTCAATCAATCGAGCAATCAAATCAGCTGACTTTAATTGATATCTATTAAATGAGTAGATAAATTTAAACGCATGAATGCAAAACTTATCAGCACCACAAGCATCACTCAATCAGTCGTACGAAAGTTATCGTCTAAGAGAAAATAATGTTTTATGAACAAATTCATTGTTTCCTGAAAAAATTTTTACTTTTGTCTCTCTTTTTCATATTCTTGCATCTGCTTCTCGAATTCAGCATCATATTTTTGTTTTTCTTCTTGTGGCAACGTTGCAGTTGGTGGTTTCTGCTGATCAGTGAATAATGAGAAGACGCTAAATTCAGAGACGTCATGATCATCAGCTAGACCACCAGTAGCAGCCGATATACCTAGAAGAATGAAGCGTTACGAACAGCAAGAGTAGCATCAGCAATTATTATTATCACTTTAATGATAATCACACGATGAAGTGTAAAACATTCAATTAAAAATATATAAAAGATTCATGAACATTCACTTGAATGCACAATTAATAAAAGACAAACATTCGAATCAATAGATGTTCCTACCGAAGAAGCCATTCTTTGGCAAAAAGACGTTATCAGCGCGAAGGCAAAGTTCATAACGAGGTTCCCTTAGGGTTGAACCATCAGACATCATAACAGTCAGAACGTTACGTAAATATTCGATTTTAACTCTCACCGGATACGGTGTATTACGGAAGTCTTTCTTACATCCTGAAAGTTGTCCACTGAACGTTGAAATGGTGATGATGATACCATTGTCTAACAGTAAAGTAAATGAAGTGGGAATATCACTAGGAACTTCATGTCATCTACTAGTAAACGTTATAAGAAGCAATGAACAAGAATAACCAGCAAGCATTTGTTGTGAACCATCGGTCTGATGATCATATGAACGTGTTCCATCATTCATCATCGCAAGAACATAAGGATTATCTTTCCGAGCGTCGTTATCGTACGAATCAAAGAATAAGCCCATACCTGTCCAATAATCGTTCGAACCGAACACCTGATTATGGAACAGCATAAAAACAATGCAACATCGAATAATAATGTCATCATCAATAACAATGCCATCGGCTTCATAAAAATAATCTTTACAGTGGCTGATATTAACATGCAAGCTGCTGGTTATGTGTCTTAACATGAACTGATAACTGCAAATGTTTTTAGAAACTCGTCTTTGCCTTTACTACTTAATGTTATCGTCTCATTCAGTATCTAAAACTTAATTTTAGGATCTCGAATCGATAAAAAACATCAGCTGCTAATGTCGAGTAGCTGATGTTTTCAAACTACAATGAGCATTCGTTCACTGCTCATGCGTTTATATTACCGACGAAATATGTACGCTAAAACGATGAACAAGAATATGCTACCGGTCCAAGAGTACCCTGTTGAGCGGTATACCAAATAGCTAAGCCATCGGCACCAACACGACCTTGTCCAACCACTTTGAACGCCACTTCAACTTCGAAATTCTCCGATTCGACCATCGGTTTCTTGTTCCATGCAATACCTTAAAGAAACACTAAATCACCCATTTTTCCACTTCTATTTTTCTTTACAGTAGGATACAAATTGTGCTTGCGCTGGAACTAGTTTCATTTCTTTCGATAAAACTCAGCCGCATTTCAAAGTTATCTGATAGTGAATGAATGTTCGAAAAAACAGAATAAATTTCCAAAGAAAAGGTAACAAACCGCTGAAAAATAATGCTGAACTATGAAGGATTTTAAAACTTCGAAAGTGAAAGGCTTGCTTTAAACTTTGAAAATAAATTGTGAATATCGTTGAACAGGTACTTATAAATTCACTGAAGAAACTCGAAGAAAATATTCATGATAACCTCTCTGGCTCCTCAATGAGGGCGCCAGTCGGAGTTTTTCACCAGATGCAATTGCATTGCCAGTTACCATCCAAAACGGGATAGATCCATCTCTTTGTGCGAGATTCGGTGATCGAAAACTATGTTTGTATTCGAATCGTTTATGAACTGCACCTTGACCTTCACATCCAACCACTATACCAATTAATAATACAACCACCGACAAACGACACATTTCTGTCAAGCTATCTAATACATTACTGTCAGAGATGGATCGTAGCGTGCTATCGCCACCTACCGTAATAACGAAGAGCTCATTTCACTACTAGCGAAATGAGCTTTTGCTATAGCTCATTTCTGATTATTGCTATCACTATTTTAAAAAATTACACTCGCATACAACAACACATCAGTTTAGCAAATATCCATACTTTAGCTCAGCAAAATTCAAGTCTAGTATATTCATTCAAAAAAAAACAGAAATGAAACATAGATAAATCCTGCTCGGAAACGAAATAAAAATTTACTCTTGAAACAAACTAGTGATGCAAAACGATACGCTATGTGCATGATTAACACGAACAGGAAGTGTAACGACTACAGAGCGGTGGATGAACGAGAACGGATTAAATGAGCCAGTGTACAACTCAACACCTTTCCATTCCACCGAACTGCAATCATATTTGACGAGCAATTCAAGTGTGCGTGTCGCGATGCGATTCGTCACTTCATTCATATTTCCGCACTGGCAATATTCGTATTTACCGTGGTTATATGTTGTTAGCTTGTATCAAACGAGTCAAAAATAAGCATATTCTAGATCCAATTTCAAAATCGGCGCGTTAGTTTCCGTGAAAATTTGGCACAAAAAATGATTAACATTGAATCGAAATATCAACAAATTTCAAAACATTTTCAAGTTTGAAATTTCCAACTGTCCGTCACTTCAGTCTTGAACATGCTCATAACATAGCCCGAGGTAGATACTGGAACGATTAAGCAGGTGTATCAAGGTGTACGAAGACATCAGAAGACAATCAACCTTAATTCTGACATATATCTTGTGCAGAAAACTACTAAATAAGTTCACGCTAAATACGTTCCTTTCATATGGGTGTATTCAATTTTTTTCCTATAATATCTGAAAAACGATTCCCGAAATTATTCCTTTTAAAAGACACTGCATTCCGTTTGATAATTCTCCTCTAAACGATAATTGGGCAATATTATAGTTTCAGGTGCCTACTATACTGAAGAATTATCAATGCGTGTGTATGTAGCCCCAAAACTATAGTAGTGCAAACAATTACATGATCAATTTTCATCAGTCTTTTTGCGATAGATATGAAGGGTTGAAAGAATACTTGAAAGGGACATTTAAAGTCCTCAATTAGTTTAGTTAACCTCTCTCGTTAATGCCATCCATGATTTTCAAATCTAATTAACAAATAACGTCGGTTAGCACAAACAAATCAAAGCTGATTTTAGCTGCTATTTCGTGAAATATATGGTTTACTTTGAGAGGAAAACATGAAAAACGAAGTTTAATTCAAATGTTGGCGTGAAATCAAGTGTTGTTTAAATTTTGCAAATGATGGAAAATTTTGTTGATAAAGTGGAAATTGTTATTTATAGTGAATTTGTTGGTGGTTATCATTTCAAAGTTTTCTTGGTATCATCGATCCCATTTTATTTGGTTCATATTTTCAGTTCAGTCTCTTTAAATCGTCTCAATTTTCGAAAACGAGATGAATAAAATGATTTGTACACCACAGCATTCCTCTGTACGTACTGGTATTCTAACCCCGAATGAACGGTTGCGTATTATCAAAAAAGAACGTGAACGACGAAGACTGACAAGGTGAACGAAAATTTTCGGAGTAATTTTGTACTATAGGTTGGTAAAATCAAAACGGCATTTGTTCACCACATTCGCAGTTGAATATGTTACTTAATTAGAGCACAGCAAAAGATGTTCGCATGAACGAAATGCCGCTGTGATTTTACCAACCTGAAATACAACATTATTGTTGTCTGTACATTTTTTTCATTCCAGATACGTACAAGTACGCCAGCAAAGTGTTGAAAATGCGCGTATATTACGTGAAAAAATACGAAACGCAAAAGAACGAGAAATAATAGAACTGAAAAAAGAGATTACTGATTCGGTTATACGTGGAATGAATAGGCAACGATCACTTATGTCACCACCGCAAATCAGTTCCACGAATACTCTGGTATCTATGTAACTATCGTATAATATTGTAATAATGTATTTTCATTGTTCGTTTTGTTATTATACGTATTATCTTCGGTAATTTTGTGATTGTTCATCTTTTTTTATCCATTTCAGGCACCAAGATCTGCATCTCGAAAACGTAAGCATCTCACGGTTCAGGATGATGAAATGGCTGCAAAACGACAAAGATCAGCGTTAGAAAAACTTCGCAAAGAACGCCTGAACGAGAAAAAACAGAAAATGAGCCTTACTGAACGAAGGAAAGCTGCAGAACGCGCTGCAAATCTTAGATGTCGGCCAATTAGAACGACCAGAAATAATATGCAAAAATCTAAACCTGAATGAGAAAAAGGGAAAGTGAATTTGATAGGTAAAGGAAAAATCGAAGATTGGGTCACGAATTTACCTTTTGCTGTTTCACCAAATTTTAGTCATTCATAAATATTTCTCTTGAATAAGATCACACTTTCCATTGAACTATTCTGCCTGGGTTATGCTCATGTTTCATGTACTTGTATACAAATGTACTTATCAACAGCCTTGTATATATTTCCGAAAAAGTTATTCATGTAATATCTTAGCTTCATATTGGTATGAACTAATCTGATCTGTTCTATGCGTTCGTGTTTATTCGATCAAAACTGATTTTATCGGTGCAATATGATGATATCAAAATGATATACACAAATATTTTGAACTGCACGAACATGAGAGCAGTTATAACACCAGTGATAGTAAGCAAACAGATCGTAACAAAAATCACACCGGAAATCAATGCGATCAACGCTGCGATCGAAATCGTTGAGTTGATAATGCGATAAATATTTATTCATTACTAATAACACGGCACCATTGTGTAAGAATTCATCACTGCATCAAGTTATAACGTTACTAACCCAAACAACTAGTGACCACTGAAGGAGAAGACGAATCACTTTATTTTGGCGAATGATATTTCCGAAAATTATCTTACGCTAGTCAATTTTCGTGCACTGAATTTTCCTGATAAAGAAAAATGAGATGACAATGCATAGGATGCACCCGATGCTCCGAAGCATTCGACTAAATTGGATGGATTTTGGCAAACCAGGCTGAAACTCAAGCGAGCGTATTCTACATTTCGCTATAGAAGCCGTTTCTTAGGAACAGTTCCAATCAGAAACTCTCACTTAGATTAGAAATGGTTCTAAAAATACGGTTTTTCAAGCATTTTTCTGATGCTTGCTGAAAGTTATTAGAGATCAGATAGGTGTAAGATTACAATTAAACATCGGTTACTCCTGAAACACGGTAAATAAAATGAAAATTGAGCTGAACTGTCGAAAAGTTACAACAATAGTCAAACTTGAACGTTCGCTTGCATTATATGGTAAAGTGTATGCTATAGCAAGCATATCATAAGAGCATCGAATTAAGCGCATTGATAATGAAGTCCATAGCCATAACGACGTGGCGATCGCTCACAAACATCGAACGTTAATCTCAGACAACTTATTTCATTCTCATATAATAACCAGGGTAAATAATCATCTCTGAAAATGATTTCACGATTCACTGATCAAAGAAAGCATTATTGTTCATTTATGCAAGATTAAGGCGCAATCGAGAACGAGTGTGCTTACAAAAGCGTTCTTAATTAACAAATATTGCTTTAACATTCACCTATGCCAAATATTTTTGCGATATTCAATATACCATTGTCTGAAACGATCGAATTGACCGTTATTGACGTGCTCCCATGTATCTCGTCGTTCTTCCAATTCACGAATAACATTTTCTTCAATTTGTTTTTCCTTGATTACTTTCTTTTCTTCAATTACACCACTTGCATTATAAGCCAATCTCAACTTTGCCACCACCGTACCCTGCAAACAACTTCGTTGCGTATAAATTTTCAATTAAAGTTATCCAGTGTGAATTTTATAAAAGATCTAAACCGTCAATGAATACTTCAAGACAAAATCTGAACTACTAACATAGCCAACTTGTTGAAGAGAAGCTAACGCTGATCGATAGTCTGATAATTTATCACCTTGAAAGAAGTCAAATTGACAGTCCCCATCCGTATCAAATGCTGACCAATCGTTAAAGCAGAATTCTTTTCTTCAACAGTAAAAGCAGTAGAAAGAACATTGAATAATTCGTATAATAATGTTGCTGTCACTGTTATGCTTAGAGTTATTACTCAAATTTTCCTTATTTACAATACTTCGAAATTTATTATTGCTATTGTTATCATTGCTTCATTCATTATTTGCAGTGACGTATTTCACTGTGCAATTTCAGCAAAAAATGTAACCGAAAGAATCACCGAAACGTGTAAAAGCCTGGATGAGTGGGACATTTGATTCCACGTAATTGATCCGACAGAGTCGAGTGTGCTTCTGATACGCCCAAATCAGTCAAACTCTCACATATGTCACAGTAGTAACTATAACAACAGAAAACTGAACATACGAGAAACCAATAATATTTAAATGTCTTTAATTGGGTAGGTGAACCGTAATATGCACACTGAAATGCCACACCCGATCAAATCTTTCAGCTCGTTTACACAGTTAAACCTCTACTACATCAGAGTACATCATTTTCTTTGATTCTTCATTTCCACTTTCAGAATGCAAAATTGATTCGATGCTAAATAAAATTTTCGGATTAAGACCATGATGAGCGTCCGAGATAAGGTTCATTCAACACTAACACTTCAGCTTTACAAACTCTAATAGTAGTAAAAGTATTTCTGCTAAACAACAAATACATATGCTGTGCAATTATAGACAACTCCACTTGATCTCTACGCAAAACGCATCGTGAAGCGTTCCATAAACTCACTGATCTCACACTGGATTCATGCCGCCTTCACATGTTTCAATAAAAGTCCTCCCTCGTGTCATATTATGCGATCGAAATTTATTGCTCATTAGAATGGACTGTAGGAATTAGATAAACCAATCAAACTGAATTTACATTGACTCAGTGTAATACTACCGAATCAAATATCCGATAAGAACTGACCAATTATTACCGTATCCGCCACAACCATTGTTACTAGCATTCTGGCACTTCAGTTCAGAGAAATCTTTCACATTCCACCATTGATATTCAACTTTTGCAAAGAAACTATCAGCATCATTTTTAGAGCCATGATCAAGTATACGAACATTTTTGATCTCGATCGTGAAGCATCCTGGGATTTTTAAGACCTCAGGTTTTACATTCACTTGTCTTGGATCAATTTCGACTAACCGCTTCGCGCCTGGCCGTGCTAGAATTATCATTACTGATTAAAGTAATACAACTTCTCTACAGCTTTAATCAAATGAAAAGAATCATTTTCTTCGATTCTATTTTTGTTCTTTCATAAATATTTTATCAACGTTAGCCGAAATAAATGTTCATGGGGAAAATAAAGAGGAATTACTTCCATTGATATAATTCATGTATGTTCAGCAGCATTGCAATCTGCTAGTATGGTAAAAACCGGTTGAATATTATTGCAATTGGTTCTTTTCGGTGAAAACAAAATTGATTTTAGTCATTAAAATTTCCTCTGAATCTCCCAAAATGATTATTTTAATGAATTTGTAACTGATATATTTATAAAGCACCGTTCACAGCACATGTGAATATGCGCATAATTGTGTGTTAGTTATAATTCAAACAGACATATAAATGAATAAATCAACATAAATAAAATGCAATGAACAGAAAGACGAAAGTGCATTTTCGAATGAATACCGCAATTAAAAACTGGTTCTATCGACTTCAAAAAATACTTCACTCATCACTTCACATACATATATATTTATTTAACAATTTTTTCATACTACGAATGAATTTCCTCTTCATATGGAACATTTTTAAGAAAATGCATACAAAAGAAGAATAATAATGACGAAATAACAAAATACAAATGAATTGAAAAAGAAAAAACTCACTACAACTAGCGTCGGCATGGCCTGGTATCAAATAGATATCCTGATATTGACATTTCGATAAGCCAGAAGAGTGAAATGTTTCACGAGTGTTCGACGGTGATATAGAGCGATTGAATAGGGACAAAAGCGATGAGGACTGTGATGAAGAAGTTTGTCGATTTTGAAGAATACGCAAACGACATTCAGGATCCATAATATTGCAAAATGTATCAGCACTATCAGCCAGACAATATTCATCGTTCAATTGAACAAGCAGAACAATTACAGCAAAGAGGGGCAATTTGAAGGGATACGACGAATGCTGATTCAAGTCAAATAAATAACTGCTTACTATGGAAAACGAGTAATTGCTTGACATTTGAAATAATTATTTTGAAGTAGTGGTATGAAAGTGGCAGCAGTAACGCAGGTAGTAGCAAGTACACTGGCAGTAGTATTGGCCGTAGTGATGGAGGAATTGAGGTCAAAATTACGATAGCAGACGAATGAAAGTATTTTTCGCCCGAACAATAGCAACACCAATATGGACAATAACAACGAAAATAAACAATTTTGCTATGTTGGTAGGTAGGTAGGTATTGTCGGAAATAGAAGTGATATTAGATGCACTCGTAAAATGAATGAATATTTTTGTGTTGTTTATTTATGCAGATAAAGTTTATGTTGTCAATCAAACAACCCACTGGTTCATGCACACAAAGGCAAATAATAATGATGATAACAGTAACAATAATAATAATAACAATAATAGTAATAATAATAATAACCGTAATTATCTATAACAGACCACAAATATTACGCAGGTAGTTTGCTAAACTGGTAGATGCCATTAACTAAGTGTCATAGACATTAAATCTTAATCGATAGACATTTCAATTGATGCTTCGTAACTCATGACAATAACATGCATTTTCCGAAACGCTCACTGTCTCATGAATAGTCTCTGAATGAATTTATATAAACTATTTGAAACACAATTATCGAAAAGGCATTCATCTGATGATATCAACCAGTATTTTAGCTACCCTTCAAATCACTCCCAGATAGTTGCCGCAATTAATTTTTTCAACAGAATTCTCTTAATCATTATGGTTTCTGTTCATAATTTCACAATTTCTTTCTTATCTTTACCGTTTGCAGCACACTAATCATATCGATGATTGAAATTGTTAATCGGATATAATAAAGCTAAAAATGAAATCAGTGAAAAATATGGTAGTGATGACTGTTTGTGATGAGTAAATTTAAAAAAAAAAACACCTTGTCGTTAATCTTGACTTGTCTACAGAAAGGTTGAATATGTTAAAATTTACTCCATCATTCAAAAAATCGCCTGTCTATTGGAACATCAATGAGTTTAAAGTGCCAAAAAAGAAAAATCTAAATGTAACTGTGCACTTACATCGGTGATTATCAATCTTTTCCTTTCCCGCACCCCCTACAAAATTTCAAGATGTCCTCGCACTCCCTACAGCAACACTTAAAATGTCCTCGCGTCCCTAACAACATCCACTTTGTATCTCTTATCCAGTGCAGCGAGTTTCTCTAGTGTTCATAAGTGTATACCATTAAAGTACGTTCTAACCTTTCCAAAAATATAAAACATAAAGTCCATTCTCACCTACTTTATGCACATGTATGTGTTGAAATCCACCCTCGCCCCCTTTAAGGTATAAAAATAAAACCTTGTCTCGCACCCCTGAAATGCCATCTCACATCTCTTGCAAGTGCGAGCACATACCCTGACTTAGATGGTCAGTATTTTCAACAAAAACAATTACATTTTTAATGCTTCTACTACATTTCATATATGTATCTTCTGAATGAGATAATTTTCAAGTGAAAAACCGAACGGAATTACGAATATTTTTCATTACATATAATTATTTTAATACCCATGAATGTTTTTTTCTGTGATTGATAAATGTTTTCAGTATTAACCCTCGCATTAATTAAACTAGTATCTATGATACATGGACACCTCGTAGATATACTTCCTGGAACAGCATCAAAAGGGTAGGTGATGAATACAAACGGAAATTCCTCATTGAATGCACGAAATTGTCTCAGGAATCGAGCTTATCATTCGTATGTAACTTTTAATGCTGTGTAGAGAAACGGCAAAAACCAGGCCATTTTCATACAAATCGCAATCATTTGCAGAAAATGACCTGACGTAGGAAAAAGAAGTTCATTTCTGAATTCTACGCAAAAAACTGTCACAACGGACGACCTTTCCATTTTTGTATAATTTTGCTTGTTGCAATCGAGCTGAAAAGCCAGCTGAATAAACTATCTTCAACTTGTTTTTATGTGTAACAAACTTCAATAAGCGCATACTGTCAAAGTTTATTTATTGACTGAATGAACGTATCATATACGTCAATCAGAAAAAGAAAGTTGGTTTCAGATTCAAAACACTAATAAAGCGAACACAGCATTAACCCTCGCATCAACCACTCAGATTTTTTCATAGCATCGCAGACGAGCCGGGCCTCTCATGCCCGTCTCTGTGCATTTTGTTACGTTACCGTAATACGCGATTTTTGAATAGAATTTCAATACATACTGTCGTTTATAAATGTTATGATATGGATGTCGTTATATTCACAAAAGTATCATTGTGCCATCGAGTTTCCGGGTGGCCATGCATCCCTAAACATCACAACGACTCACCACTTAGGTGTAATACTTGGAAAATCTGCCAGAGTTTTTGTCATCATCAGATGTTAGATAGCGTACGAATGAAATCATGAATACAACAGTGATTCGTAGAGCAAATATGCAAAAACATTCACCATACAATTCAAGTGCAGAATTCAATAAACTGTGACAATATAATGACAGCATAACGGCATTTCACAATGTGCTGCTATCAGAAAGAAAGCAATGAAAAACAAAAATAAGACGTGAACAAATCGCGATACCTTTGCTACTGCAAAAAATGCAGATGACAGCCACTACAGTGATGTGATGAGATATCAATGAAAAGAAATCAACTGTGACAATACGATCTAGCTAATAATAACAAAACGGTAATCCAATAACAACAACAATGCACAGAAGGACATTGTTTTACACAGTTGATCTAAAAAATAGCGTGAAAATTAGAACGCATCTGATTTGTATTATAAATGATTGAATGAGTGAAAATTTTGAAGTTATTCGCTCAAAAAAAAACAATTTTCGCGACAATCAAAGAAGGAAATAAAAAGAAACGATAGAATGCTATCATGTGGATTAAAGGGATTCATTCTTGAGAGTGTGTATATATTTATTGATAGTAAGTGATTTACCGATTAGTCTCTGATGAGAACTTTTTGCAATGTTTCTGGAAACTCCTAATAATCATAATAATGCTCATAAGATTACATTAACAGAACAAACCGACAAACGAAATAATCTAAATCAACTGACATAATAAAGATACAACCGGCATAATACAAAACTAAATAAAAATGCATCGCTCGTACTCAACGGTCATCACTTCGCTTCATCGACGAGTGCTTGTTGACTGTGTTTCGTCAATGACACATGCTTATGCTTAGTGTTGAACTCATCGATAAACTTCTGCGATGTGCCTTTTGATGATGAATTTCCACTCATCAACGCATCTGGTATTGAAACGGATAAAATCTCTGGTAGCATCCATGGTTTCAACCAACCAACTGCAATGTGACACATATAAATCAACTGCTTCGTTGCTCAAATAAACTGTAAACATACCAAGCGGACTCTGACCAGGTCGATATAATGCACCCGCATAATAGAATAATACACCGTCAAGTTCGAACTCGAAATCAGTACTACTCTTCATCAACTGTTCGATTGAGGAACGATGACAACGACACGATGGTAAGCACACGAATCGATACTGCAATAGCAATCGATAAACATACATCGATACTACTAATTGTTCACGTTTATTTTCATTTATTGCCAGCTTGCAACATATAGTCATGGGAATGCAAAATTTCGTTGAATTGGTTACTGCACATAGACACAAAAGTGAAATATCCCTAAAAACAAACCGGAAATTGCTTCGATATCTCGTTGAAGTTTTCGTTTTCGGATATTCTTGAATTCAACAGAAACAAACGACACTCGAAATCCGAATCGGCCACAGTTGAATCCTTCCATGTGATCATATCCAAGCAATAAAACGTCGATTGTTTTGCTGAGTAGACGCAATCGAGCAGCGTATAATGCGCTCAAAAACATTTTAATCAACTAACTCAGTCTCTCATCAACCGAGATTCAGTTGCAAACAAATTATGAGAAAGAAGATTCATTTCAAAGAAAAATCATTTACTGTGCGATGATCGATTGCCACCAGGTAGATACGATGAAAACTGATTGATCAAATAGCCAGATTTGGAATATGCACTGGTGACGCCCTTAACGAATAGTAACTATGAGATATTTTCAATTTTCACAGTTGGCAATCGCAGTACAATGATAAACAGTAACTGTACATTTGATGCGACAACGAGTGCCCGTCTACCGACTGGGCACGGTAAGCATATCCAGTCGGTTGAGAGAGTTGTCGGAATATCGACGAGCCATTCACTGAGCATCAATTCATTTGCATAACGGCTCCTAGCGCTCAGTTTGTGATGTTTCGTTGGTGTTTCTTCACGATTCGATTGCTTCACAGCAGTCGCATCCTCACTCATCTGATCGTCGTCATCTCCTTTGCACCAGTCCTCTTTGTCATCCTCGTCTTCCTCATCGAACTTATTCATCGCCAAATTTCGTGCATGATTCGTGTAATTGAAACGTGCTCTTCAAATATCATTTTATTTCTGCCTCTATTCAGTCCAACCTTGAACCTAATTCTCATACTACAATTGCCGACGATCGACACTGAACTCAAATATTTCAATACTGAAATTGAACTTTCAATATCTTTCAGTCTCAAAGTTAACCTTAAGCTCATAAAAATGATCATACGAAAAAAGAAGTTAAAATGTTAATTTTGAAACTGTATCATTTTAGAAGTGAGATGAATTCTTTCAAAGAAATGGATCCAAGAAAGTACTCTTTTTGTCTTCGTAAATATTCTGCACGACGTTTCTCTTGACTTGCTTCTGCTTTCATAAGGTTTTTGTATTGCGAGAAACGAGGATGCTCACAGCTTGTACTGTTTGGTGGTGCCACAGAACTTTCAGCTAACATGGCCGTCAGGTCATCCATCTTTCACTTCAACATTAATTCAGTGGTAATCGACGAACGCACTTCAAACAAAACAACGCAATGATCAGCTGTTAAATAACCGCTTAGAGTGGTGCATGGTTTGGGTTGGTGACATCCGAATTGCACTCGGTGCTCATCGCATGATTTGCCATTGAGAGTAAGTATCAGTTCTCAACTCTTCTTTGAACATATGAACGCAGCATGTTACGCAAACCAACAACTACTGCACTAGATGTATAATATCGCAATGGATATTCGTGTTAGCAGCAACACACTGTTGAAAACGCAACTCACATAAACAACAATTCGCGTGTTTCAATCATTCAGCAACAAAACAAATCAACAAAACACTCACAAATGAATAATATTTCTTCAACAACAAACAATTCTAATCAACATATACAGAGAATATGTAGCATGAAACTAAAATCATAAATTTGTCGATAATTCAAACTCACTCTATCTCAACAAAACTGAACGATTTTCGTTTGCAGTTTTGCTTTCAGTGAAGAAATTTTTGCACCCTAATTTCAGTAGATAAATGTTGCAAAAGCAAAATATTCAGTCAAAAACTTAACAACAACAACAACAACTAAAACAATACAGTCAACAAGAAAACAAACAATAACAAGAAATTTATCATCAATCAATTACTGTAACATAATCCGTTATTCAAGTAGCAACCACTGAAATGAGTTCAACATTCTCATTCAACCACAACACCAAAAACCACTCAATAATCCAAGTCATTAGAATCAAATCCGTTCTTTGACTATCGCACGATTTCTCGTAGTCTAGTGAAACAATCAGGCCGGCCATTCATTCCCACAAAAAATAATCTCAACAGAAACTTATTCAATTGATCGAAAGAAAGTTTCTTACATTCGAAACACGCCCTTGCCGTCATAATTCATACATGCAATTTGCTTTTGCTGTCATAATTCGTATTTTCTTCAAATCTTCATTAAACAGTTAATCGATTGAACATAGTTTCGAGTTCACAGATAGGCTTTGGCTGAGAATATGGTGTAATGAAATAGAATGAATCATCATCGCGTTCCACACATAAAGACTCGAATCGAGCCTCACCAAACAAATTCAGTCAATCCTATGAAAACAGCAATGAATCAATCGTTTACGATGACCGCATTCCTAACAAGCCCACGCCCGAGAACGATAAAATCTTCAATAATTGCTTGCTTGTTCAACTTCAATATATCACTTTCGGCTGTCAGATATCGCAATAAACTATTCGAAATCTGAAAAGAACACGAATGAAATTCACTCAAACTTTCGAGTGAATAATTCAACCCATTCACCTCAGTACACCATCACATTCACACAATAACCGAATGAATCCAACGCCCAGTTCCCAGCAAATGAACAAAATTCATCATTCATAACTATGCAAGCAACTAACGCACGTTTGACTGTTTCGGCTGTAGAGCATCCGGTTTCCAGATCACAGCTATTCGATCGCCATTGTATTTGTCATAGAAGAAAAGCGCTATTGTAGCAAAATTCATTTTTAAAATTCGTATATATTCTGCAACCGGATCGTAATCGCATACGGGCAACGTATTGATAGTATCACACTTCAGTGATTCAGCATTTTCAATTAACGATAAGGTCATTTCTGTTTGGTTAAATAGTCGTTTCCTTCGCACTAGATGCTTCTGACGAAAATGAATTAACGCGTTGAAACTGAGTTGAGTTGGTGTGAAAATATCCTGAAAAAGATTATGGATGGTTTGAACTGAACGTATACGTATAGACGGATTATTCTCTCATCGCATGTGTGCACAGCAGAACAAAACAAAAATTGGCAGAAGAAAGAAAGGGAATGCGACAAACCTTAAGAAAAATGCGCTCCTTGCAACCAATGTTAAATTCAATTATATTCAGAGCCATCTTCGCTAGAGCGATGATGCGTTTCAAAATGACTGCATGAGGCTCATCACGGGTCCACCTGTTTTTTTAAGAAGATACAAAGTAATCGAGAATTACCTTACAAATTTTCAAGAAAATGGAATGAACGCATTGGAACTTTGCACGAAATATTTATATTTTCTAATTAAGAATTTCCTTTCGTTAGCATCAAATAACAAATAAAATATAGCGTAAAGAAATGAAAACGAATTTTCGTTCAAAAGGAAGAGTACCGACCGACAGCCGACACGATCTTGAGGAATACATATCACCATAGGCGGTAGAACAGGACGCATTTTGACGAAATCCTCTTGTATTTTGTCAATGTCTTGTTCTGAAAGAAATAGGATGGAATCAAAAAATTGCACTCAAAGTACCATTGATGGAAAAACAAATTCTCTATCATTTGAATGCAGATTTCCCTTGTTGCAATTATCCGAAAATGTAAGATTGTTTGAGAGTCGTAACAAATCACTTCTTACCAGTCCACTCTTTATTGAAATCAACGAGCAATGGTCGTATGAGCCAATTGTGTGAGGAAATCAATCTCAGAAAATGTGTGAATGCCACGAACGACGTTCTAAAAAGAGGATCAGTGAAATTAAAGCGAATGAAAACAGCGCTGTTTAAGGTGCACAACTGATCAGAGGATCAGTACAAAAAATGAACAATGAGATGTGATCGTTTCAAATCGGATTCAACGAATCTTCATCGATTGAACCCGAAAATGGATACCTTGGCTGATGATCGGTTAGTGGATAGATGAAAACGTGTGCCATAATCGTTTCAATGATAATATCCGAAATGTGATCGGAAAGCATTTGTGAAGCTAACCACTTGAAAGCAATACGACAAGCTGGTGCGTATGCTGAGAATTGTTGACTTAAACTGAAAAGATTTATAATGTTGTCGCAGTCACATACAAACAACTCCATCAATGCAAACACAACTAATTTCAATTAACTCAAACAAACAGAGTCCGTTTATTTTTTTTTTGAAATTTTAAAAACACTTCTGATGAATTACACCACTCATCATATGGAACTAACTAGACTATCGCACTGCACCACCACTTTACTGTTCGTAAACACCATCGTCATCACCATTAAAAATTGAACTACCAACGCAACTGTTTCAACTATTATGAAATCGTTTCAAAAACAATCTTCACATCAGAAACACTTCAAAAAAATAACATAGACCGGTTAAATATGATGAAATTGCTTAGTGTGGATTCGCGATCAAAATATCCAAAAGAGAACGACAGTACAATATGGTTAAAAATTCATACACAACAAAAACGAACCTATGCAAATTCGCCGCCAAACTTGGTTCTAAGAGCACTTCTCTTTCACGTATTTTCGTTTCGAGGGTGTCCTTTAACCGTATGCCTCCACCAGCTGCATTTTTTCGCATAATATGCACTTCCCTCGGATACGAAATTACAAGTCGGAATATCACACCATCCTTTGAAAAAATCTTTTTTAGATCATTCACGACTAATCTTAATTCACCAACATTCACATAGTTTGATCGCATAAAAACTAATCTAATAATTCGCAAGATAGATAGAAAGGAAGAGATATGTATAAAAAATATCTATTGGAAATAACTTAATAAGGAAATGAAAACAACAATAATGCTATTACATTTAGTTTATACTATTACAGTGAGGTATCAACTAGCAGTAAAGCACTGACGGGGTCAACTAAAAATGCTGTCGATCGCAAAAATTTTAACTGAGCACGGACTCGAAATACAACAAAAACGAGAACTCACCACAACAACGAGTGCATAACTTTCATATGCAAACGAACGGCACGAAAACTTTTCGTTTAATATTTTGCATAACGCATTATAGAAGGCGGTCTTCAGGTTTGCAATCGCTTCCAAATTTTCGCCCCATTTACCGCTTTGCTCCATTGTTAGATGTACTGCAAATGATGAAGGCGTTAACGGATTTCGGAATGCAACGAACGGTAGTAATGATTAGAAGTTGAGGGCAGTAATGAATATTGTTTCACAAATGACTGATAAATCGTAGAAGTTGCAAAGTTAGAAGTAAAAATTGGTAGAAGAAATGAATTATTAAAAACCTTCAATAGATGGTAGAAAATGCGGTGAAGTAGTGCGCACTGGAAGAGCAACCTGATTGTTCATAAATAATTTTGCGCAGTTTTTATCGACAATACCATCAACGATCGGTGGCGGAAATGGCTAAACGAATAGTTCAAGCCATTATTTGATTAATCGTTTGAGTTACTTCGAAACTTGGCTGATGGTTGGCGAGATTTCTAACAGTAATGATACAACAGAAGATACTGAAAGGAAAGAAAGTAGATGAGTGATATGAGACGGGATTATTTCACGAACCGATGTGCCTCGAAGGAATGACGATACGGGATTGATATTCGTGATGAGTAACGGTAAATCTTTAACTGTACGAAGTGTTTGTGACAATTTATCAAAACATCGTAATATTTGCTCATAACGATTGTTGACTGCGATTTCTGTTGAAGGCATCAATGAACTCTCATCAAAAACACTTCGTTCTTCGAATGCGACTTGTTTCAATTTTAGATGACTGCAAGCGAACAAAATCACAAACAATGAACAATTTCGGATGCAATTATAACACAATATTTTTTCTGCTTCAAAACTCTTTATTGTCATTGTTCTGTTCTAGTTTTAGAAGCTCATTCAATCGTTCATCAACATCCTCACACCACAAAGATAGCGAACACCCTTAGAACTGATGCGTTCAAACAGACAGAACAAAATTTGTGTAAAACAAATGCGGAGTAAACACCGAATGAATTGCATTAGGTGAAGAGAACATCATGCAAATAAACTGAGCAATTTTACAAGAGAATGAAAGTGAATCAACGCACCGTGATAAGATATGTTGGCATATTTGAAAGGGTACTGAGGCTGACAAGGATGCGTTCGCATTCCATACAATCGCTTCACAAATTGCATTATCAACGAATTTGCGTAATTCGCAAACATCACCCCAAAACGAACGAAATTCGTTCGCGTCGATCGATTTCGCCGGTGGTCCACGAGTGACCGTATTCTGCCATCCTGGCAAAAGTCGAACACCCAATATGAAATGTGCTGCTTGATCGTTTGATGAGAGTGGTGGGGCTGACTTCGATACTTTCCACTGAAATAAATGACTCAATTCCATTTTACCATCTTCACAATTGTATTCCAGCCACTCGCCATGTCATATCTGTGTTCACCCATCAAGTTATCTTTTCATAGCTCATACACAAAACAATATAGAAATTCGAATAAACCTCTTTTGGTGCATCCAAATAGTCCTTATCGATCTCATCACTCTTTCCAGTAGACAAACGCTCAACGACACTGCTATCCGGGCAATCTCCATAAGTTTTTTTAGTGCCATCAACAAACGGACAATCCGTCTAAAGGAATCATAAAAATTCAGTAGAATAACAGAACAACAAAAACAATACAATAAAAAGAGTAAACAAAAACCACCTGTATTCGAATATCAAATAAAGATGCACGCCCAACCCAAGCTTTTTTCATGAGTGTATAAATTCGTTCAGTCGTGATTCGAAACCAATCATCACAGTATCTCACCAACTCATTCATATAAAATCCTCTTGGTTGTTCCATAATAAAATCTTTGTTGGCGTGAACACTGTTAATATATTAATGTAACATTTTCCAAGAACAACTTAACTTATCAGCTCAATTTTGTTCTCCGCGATGAACATTTGACAGAAATAACGTAATTCTCAGCAACAATATGAGTGAATGTTTAATTAATCTTAACAAGTATTCAACTTTATTTATATATTCTTTATAGTACACCTAAATAATTAACTAAATAAGCTATATTTCGAAGAAATACAAACCATAAAATTTACACCACAGAAAGCAAAATATAAACCTGAAATAGAGATCGTAAGAAAGTTGAAACGGTATTTCAGTATTGAAAAGTATTTCAAATTGATTGAAGCTTTCCATATTGGATAGACTCCTTACGGCAGCATCACGAATATTTTCCCATGCAACACTACTCAGTGAGTATGCCAAATTGAGGTATTTGGAATAATCCAGAAAGACATAGCGATAATGCTTCTTGAACTGATCAATGATATCATTATCCACATCTGCTGCCAAGTACAAACACTTCGTTTCCCAATCAATCGTTGCTGCAATCAAAATGAAATTGCCGTTGAACTGCGAAATAATTGACAATGGTGACAATATCATAACTGTGAAAAATCTATAAAAAATTCGATTACCCAGAGAAGTAAAAAATGCAGCAATAATATCGACAACTGCACTCGATTTACTCAATACGCCTTCGCGTTCACACAAATAAATCAACCAAGCCGTTATCAAGTTCCTATTAAAGCCATTGTGTCTCTTAAATTTTCATTAATCAACCAATATTAACGATATTTTATATGTTACAACCATATCACCAAATACTTCTCAAGTGTAAACAAAATGAATCAGAAGTAACGGATTTAGATATTGAACAATCAGACATAGAATTACACGATGTGCAAATTAAGAATGAGAGTCTCCTGAGCATTTTGATGATTTCGAAAACAGAATGAAAACTTTTTCGGAAAATTATATAAAAATTTAAGTAAAACAATCAAAAAAACGTTTGAAGTATTTCAGCAACGAAAGGATCGCATCAGTTCATGAGAAAAACGAACGGGACAAATGCATTTCCAACAACAACACCAACAAACCGTTGTAAAATGTCTCAACTGCATCCATTTTCGTAACATCAAAATTGCTTTCACAAAATTTGGTTTATTTTCCAGAAATTTTTTAAAATTTTCATCCAACTTCCGTCTAACCAAATCCGATAAAATGCTTGCATTATAATAAGGCGTCGGAGGTTCAACATCTGAACGATTATGATTCACTTTATATGCGTTTCATTCAATGAACGATCATCAGTAAAAGAATTTTCTTTCAGATATCCACGTAGGCAAACATAAATGAGTGAAAACAGCAGTGAACATAATGCAAGCTGAGTATTCCACATGATCGAAAAACTTTTCTGACGACATCAATAAGAAAACAAAAGAAAAGTTGAATATATTTAAAGCAATAAAATTTCAAAAAGAAAACAGTAAGGACAACATCGATCGACAAACCACTCGCTGCTTGATGTCCAAAACAAAATGCTGACCGCAGATTGTTATTATCAGGACGAAAACGACTCGGATTTGCGAACGTATCCGCTGGTGAGAAATGAAGACGAACAACTGAAAGGAAAGATAAATATGAAAAAGAAGTTTCAATTATCGTTTGAATAATGAGATTGAATCAATCGTATGACGATATGCAATACGAAAGCATAACTGGAAGAACGAATAAAATCGCTAGTACGTGAATAGACGATACGAAATTAAAGAAAAATGAGTGTGGATCGCAGAGTTATAAAATAAAAGTCTCTTCTTCTAAAAAGACATGCATAACAGTTCGATGTTTTGATGAACAAAGTAAGTGTCCTATGAGCTTTATTAAATCCAAAATGCCCACAAAAACCTGATTGATCATCGTTTGTCACCAATAAAATTGGTCTGTACGGATCGTATTCATCGAAAGCGAATTTGAACTGATAGTCACGATTCGCTTTTTTCAACAAGATGCACACACAGCATGCATATTGAGCACGCTTTATATGATAAGCAAAATTCAGGAAATCACGCGAACCAAAATATTTCTGCAACAACAAAATCAATCGACAATTGAATAGATGCAAGCATAAATTGATTAATTGGCTAAAACGAATTTATACCCAAAAGGTTCGCTTCACTTTTATATCCAAAAGGTTCAAACTTTCAAACGTGAAGTTTCAAAAAGAAAATTGAATGAAACAAAAATGTGCATTTGAGCAATGACTCGAAACGGCGAACCAATGGAATGACAACATCCAGGTCGAGCGCCACATCGTCGACGGTCGTTAGACGAAGTGAATCTTCGCTTAGAATAACTATTTCTTCGGGATTCATCCACTTGCAACGATTCGATGAACGTATCTCGTCCAGTTGACGACCGAACGGTAAACGAATTGGAAACTGAATTCCATTCGTCGAAAGATGACTTGTATCGCAAAGCTAAAAATGCGATAAAAATTTAAAAAAAAAACAAATAAAGAAAGAAACCAACGAACAAATACATAAACAAAACGAAAAAATATTCACGCGCTTACGTCGAATTCTCGGCTGAATGGCAAATGCTTTTGATCAGTAGAAACAACGGAGTTTTCATAACTCAAATAGTCGATGATTTCATCAGCGAACAATTGATTACGCTTGCGATGCTCAGAGCTGATTTGCTGCTCACTGCAGTAATCATCAATTTGCATCAATAATAATCGACGCGTTTCGCGTTTTGAATTCGAAGCATCTGCCCCGTCGAATGCACCTTCGTCCCTGCCAATGTCGGCGTCGACTGCATCCAGTTTCCGTTTCATCTCTGTCACACACTAACAACCACTAAAATGAACAGCATACAGCACTGTTGACTACGCAAAACAATGTTTCACGAGATCAGTCTATTCGCTTCACCAACACAAAGCACATTGCTCAGCTCCAGCATATACCTGGGGCCAGCTTGTGGCTTGACTGCAATATTTGCAGCACATCTAAAAAGAGCACTTCAGTGAATAACACTCTGAAAACTGATTTCATGCAGTCGTCCATCCACCCTTCATCTAGCTCCGTTTCGTAGTTATATGAAACAAAAACAAAGTTGAAACGCTGCTTGCCTATGCAATAGTTACAATTATCACTGAATGTAAATTGCTAAATCACTCATGACCCTCTTCATGCTCCGACAAATCCTCCTTCACGATAACCTTGTAACTTCCGACAAAAGTCAGTATTACAACGCCACTAACGGGTCGAAAAAGAACTCAGAATGACATAAGTAATACATCCAAAATCGTTAGTTCAACAGTTTTATGTGTGAAAGCATGGAACACTGTTTTCCTGAAGAATTTAAAAAATCGAGTTACAACCGACTATTGCTGGATGAAAAAGTGTCCAGAGTTCAAGCCTAAGGCTACGGCTCAGCACTAGCTTGAGTTTATACATCAACCTCATGCTCAGGTCAAACTAATCCGAACTTTTGGACTTTCGACAGTTTCTCGCTAACTCACAAAAAGTGGATATAATTTGCTGAAAATATCGTTTGCAATCGAACAAAGTCGCCCGTAAAACACAGCAGTGCTGTGTAACGATAAGAGATGAGGCTTGATCGATGTTCGATAAACGTCAAATGTATAATGGAATATAAACTTGCAGAGAGTGATCATATGAAATGAACTGTTGCCTCAACTTATAGATAACCAATATTCAGAATAGAACTTAAAGCCATTGTGTCGAAACGATAACTTTGAACCAATTACACAAAAATTCTTTCTTCTTCTGGACACAAAAAACGATGGCAATGTGGAGAATGGTGATGTTGAAGCGATGAATAAGTAATTAATTTCAGTATTGATGGAAAAAACAATACGTAAGTAGACAATAACATGAATTATTCAAAAACAATCAAGATTACACATCGCTTACAAAGCGATTTGAGCTTTAATCAAAACAGCATTGAAACAACCGAATATCAATCACAATTAATCATCTTTAAAAAAGAAAGTTATTGCCTCCATCGAACACCATTAGCTACTGTCAGTTATACACTAAAACTATCGAACGGCGCCTAATTCGTGTGTGAAATATCCGAAATCGTTTAAAAATAAACTATTCCGGAATTTACTCTCCATCGGGAAAAACTCGATGAATAACGTACAATGCAAAAAAGAAACGAAACAAAATATATAACACATAAATACACCACGATGTTCTTCAACTGAGCTAATCCAATGATCGGACGATATCACGAAAAGATGATAAAAAACACATGAAAATAACGATAAAACACAGAAAGTTCCCAAATGTAAACAAACAAAAATTTCGTAAATTGAAACAATCAAACTGAAGAAGAGTTGTAAAAGTTGTGAAGAGTTCAAAAAAAAAAGAAGCAGAGAAACTAAACGCGAAATGAGGATATAGTTGAAATATGAATACAGCAAAAATGGAATGAATAAATGAATATGATAAAACAACTGGCAACATAGAGGATTGAACAAGGGAACAAAAACAAATTACGACATCAAACACTACATAAAAGCTAACAGTTTTGATTAAGAAACGCAAAACCGAATAAATGTTAAGTACAAATCAGAAGCACTACTGACAATAGATCGATTCAACAATTTTGGTTACCACTGCAAAATATTTGCAACTGCTTAAGACCAAATTTACTAACCTGATGAAGAAGACTTTTTGCGACTTAATTGGAATCAGAATAGAAAACAACAAGGAAACGAGTTCAGGCAAAGATTACTTCAAAACTGCTGCTTCAAAAAATTGATAAAATATAAGCTAAATAAATCACAAGTGGAAAATATCAGTGTTAGTGTCGTTAGCATATTTAAAAATCGAGTAATCTCAAATTCTTAGCAAAATGAAAAATGAAAGAAACATGATGAATACAAATTATGCATGACGTATAACCAAAAACAAAAATCACTTCATTGATGAATTCGTATGAAGAAGATATGAGCTGAACAAAAATCAACGATAGAACCTACTATTTGACGAATGTTGTTCGGATAACGAAATAGATCAGTAACTAATAAAATGATTGAATAAAAACGTATACTTCAAAACAAATGAAAGAACAAACACTATGAACCCATAAAACAATTCTACAAGAGTCTGGCTTCAGAAGGCAAAACTAAGTTCAACATTAACAACAACAACAACAACAACGACAATACAACACAAAGTATCCATTCCATAAACACAATAAGGAAGCATCATCAAGATCAAACCGCATTATGCAAGTGATATTTTCAACAACAAAAACGACAAGCATAAGCAAAAATTAATTACAACTCTCATTTTTGAGATGAATTGATCAATTTGATGTTCGCGAATGGCAAAAAATAACACAGTTGGTTTGGAAAAAANAAAAAAGAGGCATGAGCTGTGAAGAAATGAATGAATAAAATGAATACATACAACGAACGAACTGACCCGAGAAGCGTACAGGCCTATAGCAAAAATATAGTCAGTAGTGTTAAGAGGCAACAAGATCCACCACTACTCTGCCACGCAATTCGCGACTTGGCTCCGTTTCGTCGGACTCCCCACTGACTCACGTTTTTCAGGCTCTTTCGCCTAGATACCTGCAGTTCCCCTGATAGCTTCTAATCAGTAGAGTGAGAGGAATCAAAATTAGAAGTTTACAGGAAAACCTTGGAAGAATTCATTCTTTAACGACTGGAAGTTGATTTCAGTAATCAAAATTTACCGCAGAGAAGTCGGGGTTACTAGAGGGTGAAACCTTGGAATCAAAGAGGCCCGAGTTAGCGGAGGATAGCACAAAACGGGCTTTCGTCGCAAGTTTCGAGTGAGAATACTGTCGAATCCCTTCCTCTTTTCCTAACCCTATTTACGATTGAATTAATAAATAAATGAAAAATTTGTGAATCCCACATGTTCCATCAACGACAAAATTCAGCTGATCAGAGGCAGATTGTACATTTCGAAAACGAAATTAAAACAGAAACAACACAATCTATACAACACAGCCGAAGAGTGAATGAAGAAACTTTGCAAATTAATGAAATTTATAATGGTAATATTAGAATTAGAAAGAGCAATAATAGATGATCGAACAAATTATATTCTGCAAATAAGACAAACCCATCTCCATTAACTGTTTTCAGCATTTTTAGCACTCCCAACTTTCCCATTATTCTCAGGAAAATAGAAGAAAATGAATTAAAAATAAAAAAACCTAACGATTTTGAATAAATTTGTGTTTTTCGTTGTGAATCGAATTCAGCCAAAATCCTTCGATGAGTTTTTGGGTTCATAATAATTATTTAAACCTTATTGATATTAAATAAAGTATTTAAGAAGGTGAAACTTGATAAACTTAGATTGACTGTTAAGGCTAACAATAATAATAATAATCAAAATAACAACAGAAACTAAATCAACAATTAAGAATTTAAAAAATGTCATGAAGAATCATATAAAAGTTTAGCAGAATCGTTTGACGATTGTCTACTCAATGAAGAGGTTGATCGCCTAGATGAGCGATTACTAGTTGAAATGATGCTCGCACTTTTTGGTAATGACGAATTGACGAGTAACGCTAATAACACCATCAACGCACCAAATAAGAACGGCGGACCTGGTATTAATTGCTGAAAATTTATTATTTTTGAACATCAACGAACACCATCATCAACTTATACTTAAAAATTTATCATGTAAGGTTGCATTGTTCTAACTGGATTGAGTGTTTAGTTTTGAAACCATTTTCGAATCCGGTTTCTACTGCATATATCTTTGACTGACAATCCTATCATATTGTGAGAGTACAACGAAAGAACTAATTCCATCTAGCAAATGTCGTTCATAATGCATCATCTACATAATCAACTGAGCGTAGTAAAGAAGATCAAGCATGTGTAAAAGCAGCTAACCCAATCGAATGTTGGTCTATCGATGGATGACGAAGAAGTGATATTTCGTTTCGGTGATGCAACTGAAATTGAGATTGTCTGCGGTCGAATCCGTGGTGCTGGAAACTGCGCGATGCCGACATGACCAGTATTATCATTATCCACATTCAAATCCATATTGAACTGATAAAAAATAAAACCAAATAGAGCTGGTCCCAAACCTGCAAAAGAAACAAATGATGGCTGAATAACTGCTTAAGTAGATATTAAAATGGAAATGATTTAACCTTGACACAAGCCTCGTATACCCGTAATAACACCCTGTACAGCACCTTGTTTATCACGATCACTTTGCAAGCTAACAAATGCACTTATTGATGGATATGTCAACTGACTCATAGCAGCTAATAAGCCAGCAGCCCACATCATCCAGTATTTCGTTCCCAATCCATACCTTCAACTGATTTCATTCTCATTCTGTACTGCCATGTGTCCAAGATGCGTAAATCAATAAACAAACGAAACAACGAATCATTCAAAACGTAAATTCAATAAATCAATAACTAAATTCAGTGCATAATGAAAATCATTCACCATAACAACTGTGCAAACTGAAAACAAAGACCCAATGTGATAGTGTGCTTAGTGCCAATTGTCTGAGTAAGAACCAAAAGGACACCCGTTTGAGCAACTACAGATAATATACCAACCAAACCTGAAATCCAACTAATACGCAACAAAACATTTCGCTCTGATTCTGTTTTTGTCGACTTTGCATAAATTTCAAGGCTCTTTTTCCCAGAAGAAGGATGTGACATGAGAAATACAAAGTCAGATCATGATAAAATAAAATGAATAAATTCAAAAAAAAAAACAGAAAAACTTTGAAATAAACCCGAATAAAACGAATGATATAGATTTAGTGAAGGGCACAACCAAAAAAGTAATACTACTAATAAAGAAACACGAACCGATAAATGCTGCAACAGCTTCAGGCGTAAAGCCAACGACCAACTTGAGATAGACAAAAAAACATGAAAACTGCCCAGCTTCAGGTAAATAACTGAGCAATACAATAACAGCTAACTGCAATACCATGCGATCATCCCAAACAATACGCAGCGTTACGAATGGATCGGCTGAATGCCACGACACAGTGTCCATCGAATGTCGTAAGTGAATTGGTAAACTTTCGGGAACAGCTATTAAAACAAACAAAACATCAAGAGTCGCTACTGACGTTGCCTGAAACGAATATTTATGCTGAAACTCACGTTACTGCAACAACAATAAGACACATACATTCGAGTTTTAAAAAAAAAACAAAGATATCAAAATTCAAAAAACCTACGAAGAAAAATAACGAATCAACAAAATATTAAGTGATAATACTTTGACTAACCAATATAACGACTGCCTCATCACCCCAGTTCTCCGAAATCCAAGCACCAAGAGCTGGTGATGTGACTAAAGAGGCAGCAAACGTTGCAGAAACGAGCCCATACGCTGCCGATCGATCGCTTTTCTCGGTGATATCAGCCACATATGCCAAAACAACACTGAATGTCACCGAAAAGAGACCACTGAGTGAAAACAATGCAAAATACCACCTGAAAGCGACCGATTAATTAAACGGTTCATAAATGAATAAAGATGAATGACATCAAACATCATATGCGTCGAAATGAAAGCTGAATATGAAAACAAAGAATATCGACAAACCACGGACTGATTTTGAGGCAAGGTATTGGCATACAAGTGCAAAACACGGTTAATAGTAGGAATGGTTTGCGACCACACGTGTCTGATAGTGCACCAACGAGTGGAGCACTTAAAAACGATAAAAAACCTTTTACACCCAATATCATACCATTCATCAAAAATTTATTCGTTGGAAATGTATCTGCCAATACCTAAAACACAATAATGTAATTGATAAACTTTGGTAAATGAATGGTTGATTTAATTTCTTCATGAAGCCAACTATGGAAATTCTTTCGAATTTGCGTGCTAAAATTTTTCCTTAAAATAATCACTTGCATAGCTCTCTGGCTAATTTTAACACTTTGATAATTACGAAACAACGACAACCAGAACAAAAATCACCATAACAGCACAAGAACAAAACTAGTTCCTTAAAATGATGTTCATAAATAACGACATTCTACTGAAAACAGAAATACACATGCACACACACCCTTAGGAATACACTTCCTTTTCTAACGAAAACACGAACTAGTTCCACGAAAAAATCGGTCATCAATTAGCTGATAACGATCAAGAGAATGTTTAGGCGCATATGCGAAGAAGATAAGAAGAAATTACGATCAACTTTAAATAGAAAAGAATTAAACAAGATCATTCTCAAAGTACAGCAATAATAACCTACATTAATGACTGGAACGGTGAGCAAGCCCCAAGCGAAATATTCAAGAAATATGACGATCAGCGCATGATGAACACTCGCCTTACCAAAGCCCATCGCACCTTCGCGAGAAGACATTTGCCTTCCTCGCCTTCCAAACAACAACGCACCAAGTGTATGACTTTTACGAACCATTCGCCCCTCCTCCTAAAAATTTCTCACTTTCCGAAATTAACACACACCATCAAGCAATCACAATCGCTGCATTAAACTGATTACAAAATTCGAACTTCTATGAAGAAAAAGAATGCCTCAAATGAATTATGAGTTTGATTGTCGATCAAGCAATGTGCGAAGTCAGTTTATAAAGAGATGATGCTTACTTTTTGAGGGATACACACCTCGCCAAATGGTTCACTAGCACTTTGCAAACAATTTCGTTCGACTGATTTCTATGCGTTTCGTGAATAAGAATTTTTGATGAGGACGATGATAGTGGTGAGCAGATGATCTGTTGTGATGATCATACTATTAAACAACAATGCATCATACAGCTCATCTTACAATATACTCTCCTACAACACATCAACGAAATCGCTCAATTAATTCACAATCCATATTTGAAAAAAATCATCACTTTCATTCTCGGGATGTGCATCCAGCAAACAGTCATAAGATGAGAAACAACAGTAAACTGCATAGTAATATTTATGATAATTAGCACAACAACAGTTTTAACTGAAAACCAGAAATTATTTGAATGATCAACGAATAATTCGATGGACATTTGAGTACACAGCATTCATCGAATATGGAATAACTTAATCTAATGATATGACGGGACTAGAAGAAGCACTCATTTTATATCTCATGATGTCGTCTAGGCATTCACATTCCTACCAAATCAATCACTACCTTTAAGTGCATGCACAACAAAAACTAAAGCTATATTCTATTTCAAAGCTGAATTATTGAACGTGAATGCATACGTCATTTTTATACAGTCACAACTGAACACCACCATGTTCACAGAATCCTAACTGCATGCATTTCCTTCTTCTACACTACTATGACAGCAGAAGACAGACTCATGGAGAATTAATTCTGCGAAAGTTGTTCCATCAACAACAATAAAAAACTTGAATGATTGATATTGTTGCGCGCGTGTATACGTGTAGTGTCAGACCTACAAAAACTGCCGTTTGTGTGTGGCGATAAGAAGTTGAGAAGAACATTTTGACTGAATTGAGATGGATCAATCTCAGAGATCAGATAATGAGGTGATTACGCTTGCAATTCACAATAAGCTGTGCGTGAACACAGTCGTGTACACAATAAACTATGCGTTTACATCATGTAATCATATGAAACACAAAGTAATCGTAAATATGCACGAATAAAAAGATCTTAAAAGCCGGAAACAAACAAAGTCAATTGTACGTCTAATTAATTGGCTGTTTCAAAACGTTTCATTGTGAGCAAACTATTGAAGAGACTCAACATGGAGACTGATTGCCCCTTCTACGAATGCACTGAACAAGAAAATCAGTCAGTGTTGAGCAGGTATTGACTCAATCCATTAGTATCGATGAGAGATCCAAATTCACAGTCTAATACTTCGATAGGAACGCGTCGTGCATAAACGACAACAAATCAAACAAAACGATTGAAATTCGAGCGAAAATTTTTTATTATTATCATTATTGCAACGATAAAGCAAATACAAAACAATTAAGGTTCCATTCAAGGAAGAAAAGAAATGAAGTTGTATATTCAAAAAAATATCGTTGCTTTAATAACAAGATGACAATCAAAAAATACACCATCGATAAAAACAACGCACGGCATGTGGTATATTTTTTCAATGCACCGAAAAAAAAAACCAAAAATGATCTGAAAAGAATAGAAGAAATTAAAAATCGAGTAATTAGGAAAGAAAAGAAAAAGCAATGGGAATCACCGCTCTGAAACCATCATTAATCACACAATTAATTTAAAAATGTTTTCAACCAAATTCCCTTAAACTGAACCAGGCAAAAGAATACAAATAAAGCAGAAAACTGATTGAAGAAATGTGAATTTCAGTTTTGCACCAGACATCATCATATCACGCTCAGACATCATACTGTCCAAACAAATGGGTTGATTAAACGACTCGAAAGTTGACAAATTGATGATATCGACTGAACAAGATACTGTGCACAAAAGAAACTACTGTTGCCGAGAATAACTGAAGCAACTTCAAAAGAAGACAAACGAATGCAAATGACAACCAACGGCCACTTCACAACGCAACCGTCCACAAAAGAGATGCTGCAAACCGAACGAACTCCAACCAAACAAAACGCATACACTCTCAAAACCATACGAAATAATCCAGTTTTGTTGCAAATCGCAATTTTCTCCTGTATCATTCGTTAGAAATCTATCACCCCTCTGTTCGTCGCTAAATGTGGACACTTATTGTCGACGTATCCGATCACATTTCGAATAAACTGCCATAATCCATGTCTCTTACGCATCACCAGCGATAATCAATTAACACACATTCACCATTCTTACTTTCCCTTTGCTCAATCACAAAACTATCAGCTGAACAAAGCAAAAAGTAAAGACCCATCCAAAAAAAGAAAACGAAACAAAACATTTATGAAAATAAGATCACATCGAATATCATTGATGTACACAATACACACATTCTTCAGTGAACTGAATATGTATCATATCATTCAGAACAACATTGAATACACAAATAAATATTTCTCGCTAAACGGCAACGCAACGACAACTGAAATTATGTCGACGCAAAAAACTTCAAATAACAGAATGAGAAAAAATTAAATAAATGAATACATCAGTATAAATCACAGCCCAATTAAAAAAATTATGATGGAGGATGAACGAATTTAATAAAACAGAAGGAAAATGAAAAAATAATCGATACAAGAGACGATGGCATAACACATAATTTGTGTTTTTAATCACTGAACGTTTGTGAATAATCAATCAACAAGCCATTCAGTTCGTTACAGTCAATCAAAAAATATTTGTCCAATTAGAAATCCTCCATATTTCCCCTAAGAAGCGTTACCATCTCGAATGAACATCCAAACAATTTGTTTTTAATATCGATCCTGAAATTAATACGAATCAATTACTGTCACCATCGTTTATTGAAGGAATTTCCACTAGCTGTTTCTACTAAAATCACTGTTTCATGATTTCTATCGAGAGAAAGAAGGCAAGCATGCTATAGCCAATTAACTAAACGTAACGAACGAATAAAGAAATTTAACGTTGAGACACTGAAATAAAATGAAACTAAGCAAAGTGAACAATACATATCGCACTGTCAAGCAAAACAAAAAACGAATCATATAATGAAAACGACGAGCGTTAGTAAATAAAATTTCAACATAAAATTACTTTGATCACCACAATTCGACTGATTGCATGACTGAAGAAAAGAATTATGAATGTATACATCAGATGTAAGCAGCACAGATTAAACTCGATGTAATCACTAAATGAAGCGCTCAAGCGTTGAAAAAAACGAAGAGATCGCAACAGAGCCAAGGCTATCAACAGTAAGAGGGAAAGAAAAAGACCAAAACCATAAGCAAGAACGACCCAAGTCAAATGAGACGAGTACGAGAAGGAATGAAACGAATGAGAATTATGAGAGCAGACTGTCAATATCAAACCATACAATACGATAGCAACAATTAACCAACTGAACCTGTCTGTGTGTATCATCACACAAATCAGACATTTATGTCTTCGATGACTGTCGCTGAAAGAATCATATTCTTTATTGCTACAATCAATAAAACCAACTCACTTTATCCAACCATTCTGATCATAACAAACAGTGATAAAATTCAAACAAAACCAATAATAGTTACTAATGATATTGAACAAAAAACAAAGATCTGTTATTGAACAGACAATAAAAACAATTCAGAAGAATGATTGCATTTCATCACTTTTCTCAAATTCATATCGCAAATCTTCATCAAATATCCACCGCACTATTCTGCTCATTAATTCCAACTCGCTATTACGCCTCACTCAATCATAAATGAAAAATTCTCTCAAAAATGGCCCTTATACTACGATCCTTCTTGATTAACTCAACTAATAAACAAAAAAGAAAAGGTGCAACAAACTCAATGGTAATAATGAAAATTCCGTGGAGAAAAACTATGTGAATAGAATAATGACAACGATAATGAAAATAATAATGACAGCAATAATAAAAACAAAATAATGATACTCAATAATAATAGTAAGACAATGATCATATATATTAGGTTAGTTAATGACAATATTTAATGAAAGAATCACCAACCGATAGATACGAAGAAACCGAACTGCCCAATGATGATAATTTGCCAGCCACTTTGGTGACACCCAGTCGCATACTATCCTTAATGTCAGACATTTCGGGCATCTGACTGCTATAACTTGAATAAGCGCTTGTCGTTGAATGTGACTCATTTGCATTTCCGAACAAATCTGCGCTTCCGATTCCAGTCGAATTCCCGAACTGATTTAACTTTGTTTGTGTCTCATACTGAAATGCAACTACTCGATGCCCTTCGCATTCGCTTATCACTTAACACGAAATTGAGCGCAAATTAGGAAAATTTCCAGTTGAAAACAAAAGCGCACGCAGTGAACGGATGATTTAGAGCATGAATATCAACAAAAAATATATAATATTCAGCAAACTTCTTACTCAATATCCGATGGATAAAGAAATCGAAGAAAGCAAAACGACTAAAGGAATAATTGAAAATCCGCTTCAATACACTGCCATTTACTAACTGTGTTCATATTTACAACTGATCGTGAGTCTACTACAGACAGCTGAACTAGATCGCTGAAACTCAGATGCGCAAGTGAAATAGAAAGCCCAAACAAAATTTTACATTTCATTAACATCTCTCAAATATAATGTATGCAATCAAATAAACTAAATTAGCCAACTGAATAAAAGTGCAACATCTCAAATTAAACGTGATGGACCCGACTCTTAAAGACCAACCAATCGAATTACACACAAAAACGAAAATTTACATATACACCAAAAGGAACAATCCAATAAACGTACATCCAATTGCGGCGGACCGAAGAACTGATCTGATGAAATCGCCTTTGCGTTCGCAAATTTCTTCAACGCTTCTTCGTCAGATACTGGTTCAGAATGTGCTACGACTCTTGCCGATGAACGTACACTAAAAGCAAAGCTTATCATTATTGCTTTTGTGCTATAAACTGGCTCATTGTTTTCTTGTAAGGAATACATGAGATGAAAAGTGATAAAATCATCGACGAAAACGAACGCTTTTCTACTTGCAGTCGCTGGAGTGGGTTGTACGTCCCAAGCATCAAAGAACTCGTCCTTTTTCGTTTCGTTCGAGCTGTTGTCGTTAGAAAAAGATTTCGACGAAAACACAGCATCGGCGATACTATACGAACTCGGATCACTTCTCACCTCACTACACAAATTAATCTTCATTACTCGTATCAGTATCATTAATAACACAGTACTATGAGTTGTACAAATAACACAGTACAAATACCAACTTTGATGAATCGTCAATGAGTTCCCATTCATCATCCCTGCCCTTATAAGACGATATAGCGCTCGAGGTGGCGTTTGATGATCCTTTTGAAACGCCGTCCTGCTGAATTGTTATAATGCCACTTGCAACTGAGTGACTCACGCCACCTTTAGCACCAAAACCAGTCATACCAATACCTAATCGATCAAGCATTTCCGCTTTACCCGGATCGCTGCTTGCTTTCAGTTTTGCCTTAAGTATAACAAAAGCATTCATTTGGCGCATATTCACTGCCCATATTTCAGTTTAGAACGTTTGCAATTCATTCGTGATATGCTATGTGCAGTGGATAAGGGTGGAATGTAGATACAATTGCACTTCATTAGAACGTTGATCACATACATACCTCCGTAGTTTGCTTCTGTTTCTCAATATCTTGCATCATAAGTCTTGAAGATAACTTTTGCTGTTGACTTGAACTAGTTGAATCGTCACTTTTCGAATCCCGAATTGAAAGATTACTTAATGCTTCACGTTCTTTATCATATTGAGCAGCTTTCTGTTCCACTTCTGCAAAGTTTGTCGTTTTCACACGGTGTGCTCCTAGACCTTTTTTTGCACCAAGCTGAAAGAATGTAAGAATGAGAAGAACATTCTGGTTACATTATTACCCAATTCTTTTAGAAATGCTCCTTCCTCGAGTCGATACATCGAAAATATTCATTTAGATACCGCGAATGATACAATGCCGAAGAAAATGACCGTATAGAGCCGATCCAAACGATCAATTAATCGAGAGTTTTCATTTCAACGATGATTCATATAGAAATATGCAAAGTTCGACTGAAACTTTATTGACACACATGACCGCAAACAACTGGATGGAGATAAAAGATACATTTACTGAACAGAATTATGCACATACCGTTGCTTTTTTCACCACTGGCTTTTTACCAATTATTGTTGATTTTATATCGAGACTTTTTTGTGATTTCGGTGGACTCCCCACTGGAAGACCCTCTACACTTGGACCTAGAATCGAGAACAATGGAAATTTGAATATCGAAGTACTCGTAATGATGCGGATCACTGAAAAGAAAATGATGAGATAAAGAAGGATACCTTTCATATCAGTCTGTGGTTCATTAATGAATGCATCCTGTGTTATCGAGGACGATGAATTACTATGATGCGCAACGAATTCTTGTGAGAAGAAATCGTGTTGTTCAGATGACTGCTCATCAGCTGAGGGTTCACCACAAATCAAACCACTACCCTCCATCATCATGTCTGTTCCATAGCGCTTATGCGCTTGTGCTGCCAAATTTGCTAATTTATCCTTGAAAAATTAAAGAAAATTATTATCTTTGAGTAAACTTCAATACCTTAGGAGGAAGCAAAATAGTGAGGATGCATTGAAGAAGACTTTATCAAGATCTTGTTAAAACTCCAGAAAATGTGGCAAATTTTTTGGTTCCTGCTGATGTGCTTCGTAATTTCGAATGAGCCGTATATGGGAAGAAATCGAACGAGAATTTTGTTTGACGGCTGCTTGCAATAGCATATGTAATGAAATATGTAATCCAATCAAGTGCAATTATTATAATCCACTGGAATCATCCGAAAAAAAAANAAAAAAAAACAGCTCAGAAGAAAAAACATTAAGGTTTACAATTAGTATAAAATATTGCGATGAACATAAACATGCAACTCGTATTGGCAAGAAACATTAAACAAAGAATCTGAACGAATTGATGTATGAGCAATTAACCTTATACAAAGTAGCTGCTCGACTTTTGTACTTCTGCTGTGCATCTGTTGTATTACAACCGTGTTGTTTGAAAAACTGAATCTGCAAAACAATCACCTACGTTCTTGTTCCATTAACTGAACAAAAATTCAACGCAGACCGTGGATTCAACCAGACTTTATTATGATGATTGCTCAAATATTTTCATCATTTTCAGAAGCCGCTTGCAGTGCAGACGACGATACATATTACATTCTAAACGATACTCAAAAACGAAGTTCGCCATCAAAAAAAATTCAAAAAACAAACTGATCATAAATGCACGACTTCGAAATCTGTTCAACTACGAATACGAAAATGAACACAACGGCAATTCGCAATACGAATAGCCGAATATCATCTACAAGTAACTGTAAAAGCTCACATAACTCACAAATATTCTCATCAGCCAGACTACAACACAATCAGCATGAAAAATGAATACTAAAGTAATAATAATAATATTAATACAGCGTTAGCATTTCCGCCAACTTGCATAGCACGTATTTGTAGCCACGTCCAATTGGTGTCAAGCGTAGTTGAACGAACGAATGTGATATGTACTCCAAGATTACGATGAACTGATGAACAATCAATACATATAAAAACACCGTAAGTTATTGATGCCCATGATGGATTCCGAGCACCACAGTCGAAACAAACCTTCAATAAAACCAATTTCAGTTGATTTTGCTTCATCCGTTTTTCATCCCTGCTGGTTCAGTTGAAAAGTTCAATGCAGAAAGTTATTTGAAACACGCTAAAAATCATTATTCTGAAATTCAATTACTTGGCGAGTTAATAAATTTGGAATCAAGAAAGAGCAATTGAAAAATTGACTTTGTTCGCCGGAATGGCACGCAACTTTCGAAAGGCGTTTTGAATATCAGATTTCAACGGAACTTCGTCGTCGCTCATCTCAGTTCTTGTTTTGTGTTCAATGATTGTACAATTCGATGTTCACGATTGAATTTTCATATGAGCACTCCCACGAACACGTTACAAAGTAAACGGCTGACTAAACCACCAACCAGTACCCTGAAAACATCCACTACGATGAAACTACGAAGACAACAATGCGAAGCGACATCAACAACAATATTTAGCGGTGCTACAATACGGAATTGACGTTTTCGAACTGAAATCCCTTCACTTCATTCCATCTACCTACTACTATTCTCATTCTGTTCTATTCACCATACCTTTTTGCACACATCAACCCGTTACCATAGTTAATACTAACTGTTATGCGTTCCTCCAATTCAGTGCTGCGCATCCATAGGTCGCAAAATCTGACGGTAAATTTGCATCCGTATTATTTACTTTGCAATTTACATTACTCTAACTTACTGCAAGGTAACTTTGCATTACATTCACAACCTCAAACATCTATGAATTTTAACGATTATGATAATAACATTCACATTAATATTAATGAGAATAACAATAATAATAATCCAGCTACCACAAACATATGGAATATGAGATGACTTTTAACTTACACATTCACATAATAATAATAATAACAAAAATAAAATTAGTCAAATTTTTGCCTACAAAGATTATGACAACATCGAATAGATCAGGAAGAGAGCAACAGGACGGCTGAGCACCGATGAATCACGAAAGCTGATCGTCGCACGCAAATGCGATCACAATCTCGAGCCACCGCCTCGATCAAGCGATTATGTGGCGTATATATCACTCCGTGGCACACAGACGAGGCTGCTGCCGATCAAAGAAGAATGTCGTCATCACGTAATATCGTAATCGAAATATTTATAAAGCGGCGTAAAACCAGTCAATTTCAAAATGAACGCATAAAAGATGACTCGTTGCAAACTCATTTATTTCAACTTGAAACGATCCATGAATTAAGTGCTCACTACATTCTGTATATACTTCAGTTATTTACACAAATAGTGAAAATAATCAATTTATTATCTGTGCATAACAAAATTTCGTTACGGATTGTAAACAAATAAGCGAACGAATAAATACTATCTTAACATCGCTTTCTTAAGTTTTAGAAGACGACTTGCATAAACGATTACTTTTATAAAGATATATGATCGATGTTCGCATCAGCGTGAGCGTAGTTCTTGTTTAAACACATCTACACTGAAATGAAACGAATCCCCGCCGTTTTGGTCCATCGAAACAATAACGATTCAAATGAAATCAACAGAGCACCAACAATTTCATAACTCATAAAATTATTACCACAACAAAACAACCGAAGAGCTATGTACTGTTTCTATGAAGCAGTCGTATGCTGTAAAAGGCGATCACGCTTTTGTTGTTTGATTACTCAGAGCAGTTGATTCATTCTGGTGAACTCCATCCGCATCTGAAACAGCTCATGCTTTTTATTATATGCGTCTTAATTTACCAACCGAACAAACAACAAACACGCGAACACAACCCAATCATCCAATTTTCAGTAAAGAAGTATGCGTAGCATGACTACAGGCCTATCATTTAAAGCAGTTGTTCTCGAAGTTGCAACTGAAAGAAATCGCTTAATCCGTTCAAGAAATTAGACAAAGTGCTTAGGTAACAGGAAATGCATTCTTAATTAATGGGAAATCAAATCTTCTCAACAATTACATGCAAAAATAAAATAAAACCTTGATAAGCGCGGAAGAAGATTTTTGCTGAACTGAAGTTGTAGAAGAGAAGTCGGAATTCCTGAAGTGAAACAAAAATATTTATCTAATTTGAAAACAGATTCAAAAAAATTCCAATCGTTCTGAAACAAAACAAAAAAGCCTGTTTTCAAAATCGCTGACATTATTACAATTCAAACAGTAAAAATTATTAGCATAACATAAATAAGCAGCATGAAACCTTTTGATATTGCTCAAGTTTAGCGATCCGAAGAGTCGTTGATGGTTCAGTGTTTGTGTTCAGACGAGTTGAAGACATTTTTGACGTAGACGTATTTTTCATTTCTTCAAGACACTTACTTTCAATGGATTCGAACCAGTTCAATGCGGAAAAATCGTTCAACTGATTCAATAAAGTCAAAATGAACGCAACACCTGAATAGAACAGTCTTCATAAAGATTTGTTCAATTATTCATTAATCTATTGCATTTACAATATATCTTCAAGAATATAATGAAGAGGCGATCAGAAACAACTCTAAATTGAACAAAAACATGCGAACACAATCAGCTTAATAACAAAACATACCGAGAATGAAACCATCATCCGTAAATGTATTATTTTGCTTTGAACGTCGTCCCAGTTTACCTTTGCAAGCAAGAATGTGTTCAACGAAGTTGATTGTTAACGGAGGTACAATTATGAAGAAACTTCTCAGATGATCGAATTTTGCGAAATTTCTAAACTCTTTTGCGAATACTTCTAATAGAATCTGAAATGTGAATGAAATTGCACGTCAGTTAATTCAACAACAACAGAAAGCATTCAAGAAGTAACCAAATAACTGCTCATAAAACATGAACTCTTAACAACAAATTGAATACGGGTCAAATTTGCAACATATGAAAAGGTTCCTGAAGTCTATATCTCTGTGACAAACGACATGCAGCATAAAACCAACCCCAAAATATTGACTGCAAAAGATGAAAATGAATCAGAGCTTCAAAACACACCTGTAAATAATTATTCGTTTGATTCATATTCTTAGTTGCATCATCAAATATTCCGTCCAATATTTTGGCCGCATTCACCGATTCTTTCGAGAGATTCGCCTTTGCAGTCAACGGAACAAATGACGGAATATCATCTAAATCTGGAATGAATGCTAACGACTGAGAACTCGCTTCGATCCCGCCTGATCTGCAAAACGTATAAACACTCATCACAACTGCAAATATTCATACAAATCTAAAAATCAACATGATAGCGATAATATACCTGACCAAACGAACATATCCCATAACGTTACCAATTTGAGTGATAAGAATACGAAATTTACCCAAAAATGATAAATCATCGGATGTAACACCAAGGCGTCTAATTGCCGTATTGAAACGTTGTGCTCTTTTAACGGGATACTGAAGAAGTAAGATAAAAGCAAAGTGATTACAAACTCTTCAATAACTCTATTATTTTAAACAAACGAACAGATGGGTGATGGATGAATGAACTAAAAAAAGCGATTTATCATTGAATGTAAAAATAGAACAATTGCAAAATTACGGCAATTAACCAACCATTTTGTTGAGTTCGTTTGTGTTGTCGTGAAAAAAACGAATATCTTTGGCCAATTGTCCTTTGATATGATCGTCGAATAAAAACTGCGAAAAAATGAAAAACTTCTTCTTCAGATATTGATAAGCGAAATTTATCTGAAAAGCAACGTGGAGTTTCGCTTTGTGATTGCAGTAGGGAATGGAAACATAAAGCATTGGTGACAAATAAGACAACAACGAATACGAACAGTTGTGTTCATGATACCCATTCCATGTGTTCGAATTGAGTTAGCGATATGTTCAACGGTTAGAATATTCAGTTGTTTATTCTTACTATCATTTTCGATAAAAAACTGCAACAAAAAATCGTAATTAAACTAAAACAGTGAAGTACAAATAAGATTTTATTCAAGGCAATGAAATTGCATACGTATACTTGACAAAATCTTACATACACGCAATCGACAAATAACAAATCAAACAAAATTTAGATTTCGAAATGTAAATCCGTGTTGCATAAAATGATTTCACATCATCTGCAGTGAAACCAAGCACTGCAAATGAGCACGAACCTAACTGTGAACCTAATAACACAGCTTGGAAGATCATGTGAATCTTTAGAAACGAAAGAAAAAACATTTAAACTGATGAAAACTTGAAAAATCAGAACATAAAATTAAGAAGATTATAGTCGAGACTATAAAATAAGATTATTAAACGAAAAAAAAAGAACAATAAAAAGCTAACGCACTCACCTGTGCATTGAGATTATAGTTATAAGTGGTAACAAATGAATGAATATTCCGCGTTATCAAAAGAACATCCAATCCTTGTTCCAACGTTTGAAACGGCAATCGACTATCGCACAGAATTAATCCATACTTATTCTCAGCTAACAAACGCATTTCTGTATACGTATTGCAGTCGTGTAATGCAACTGCATTCAAGTTGTAGAATGTTCTTTCCAAATAACGCTCAACATACCCTTAAATTATTATCTTTCTTCTCAAACGATACTTCTCAACCTCAATTGTCTCATATGCAAACTTGCGTATCGGTCGATATCAATAGATAAAATTTCCTGGTTCACTTTTATCACTCTAACATGAAAGCATCACTCTAACATGAAAACAGCTAACGATCCACATTCACTAAAGTAAGCTTATACGACAACAGATGAACAATTACTTACGTTTAATATCGACAAGTCGTTCACCTAATCGAATAGGTTCACAAAACAATAAACTAATCCAATGTGCACTTAAATCCTCAGCGATTTGTTCGTCTAATTGCAAGTGCGAATGAATTGATAAACGTAAATCGGTTTCAATTGCCTCACATAATTTCAACAAAAATCGCTGAAAATTCAAACATTTAGACGGACCATTATTGAAAATATTACGTGTCCATATACAAATTACAGAATTGCTCAAAATTTAATCGAATAAACACTTGATCTAATCGAACAGAAACAGATAAAATTAACCTGAAATCACATACAATAATTCATCAGTGGAACATTATACCTGTTGAAACTCATCGTAAATTTCCCCATAAAACTTTTCTGTAACCACATTTGATTCCGCTTGACGACTTCCTTTAAGAATAATTTCAGCGTCACAAATCGCTTCAAAGAAGAGCTGAAAATAAATTGAAGAATTCGAACGAATATTATCCATAAGCACCGTGCTTGAAACTGACAAAGAGCATACTGCGATTGACGTGTAACAAAAACTGACATCAGCATGCGCTGTAGAATCGTCTAATAATGAGTCGAAATAGGCATTCATAATACTTCTGTGTGAATAGAGAAATGAGCAGTCACATAAGTTCGATAGAACGGTCCCTAAATTCAGTAGTACATCAAGTTGTATCAGGAATTCATCCATTTCTTGCACCTCATTCCAGCGAAATATTTTCTGTAATAACATCGTGAACAACTCGAATCATCGCCAAACACAATGCTCATTCTTTTTTTTAGGCGTTACCATCAACTATTATAACAGCTTAGTAAATACACTTATAGTGTATTTACTAAGCGACTGCCTCGGTGAGAAATCTCAACAGTGTTAATAAGATCAAGTCGAATTTGGCCATTCAAAAAATTCGAAACATTGTTCGACTGAACACAATCAGATGAATATGGTGACTGATTCATACAATGCATTCCATCCAGAGAGACAAACGGAAAGGAGTTATCTAAATGAAAGCGACGAAAACAAACCGTGTAACAGGCCATCTCTAAGGCAACCCCTGTAACTATCAAGCGATTCCGAGAAACTGAAACAAAAAATGAAAGAATAAAATAATGTTAACAACGTAAATATTTTAAAAATGAATAGGAAAGTACGAAAAAAAGAATTAAACGAAAGTGAGCACAATTGATCAGAACACAAGAATTCAATTACGAGTAAAAAATCAGAATCCTACCAGTCCCAGATAGAGCGAATTCAGCGATTGACAAAGCGGATATGATATCGACTTTTTGATACGATAGATTCGATTCAGATCTCAGTGATTCTTTAAGACTGTTTATAATCCTTAACAAATGACCACTGAATTGTTGTTTTGCTTGCTGACATGTTTCAATTACTTCGTTCCACCAGTGCAGGAACGTTCTCTCAACGCCCTTCAATTGAACAGTTCACATTCGGTATTCCAATCTGTTTGTTTGAAACAAAGAAAATAACATGCTTTGATCAGTTCGACTAAACGGAATATCGCAACTGCAGCACTTCGTGAAATCGCTTTCTGCTCGTACAAATGCCCATTCAACACAGTTCTAAGTAGACGAGATATCGAATCAACTTGCCGTGCACCCTGAACAGTTGAATTGAAAACTGATAAATTTTTAGTGTTCAAATGAATGAAATAAAAAACTTGAATACGAAAGGAAAACGCAAAATATTATTATATTATTCTGTGGAAGAAGCATAAATGCGACCTTAAAAAATAATGTAGTACGGTATATCAAATGCCCATGTGCATTCTCTTTCGGCCATTCGCGAAGCTCCTCAGCCATTTTGCATTGCCATTCCATCAGCTGTAAAATGAAATGAGAGATGAACGAAACATCAAAACTGAGAACTATTATACCATAGTTGAATGAGTGATTGTTTCACGGATCAACAGCTCGGCTTGCTGATCGAACAACGACGAGCGTAACGATGCAATCGACTGTAATGATTTTCGATCGAGCACACGCTCAATCTCATTCACCGATTTCACCAAAAAATCACACGGTGTCCAAATTATCTCACCGATCAAATGAAACGCTAACAACTGAAATAAGTCAATAAAAATTAAATCAATTCAGAGGTAAATTCGAATGAATAATAAATATATCAAAACTTTACGAAACGAACAAATAAACAAAGACAAATAAATGAACAAATAAGTTCACGAATAGTCCATAAATTATAAACTGTTCATGGTGCATAATTTACCTGTAAGCATAACTATTCGATTACCTTTTTATGCGTATTCCAAATTGTTCTCAGTAATTTTTTGTCGCACTGTTTGAAAAAAATACAATGAAATGCCGTAAGTGCTACGATCACAATGAGACGTTGTTTGTCAGCGACATCATCAGCTTGAAAGAAACAGTTTTAGAATAGGCTCGCATTGAATCGTTGACGAGTTAAAACATTAACGAACAAACGAAAGAAGAAAAACCCAACTCACCGGCTACATGATCCCATTTCTCGTGCATTTCGAGGATAGCATTTCGCATTCGTTCAATAAACTGCGAATCTGTATGCAGTTCTTCACTGAATGCTTGCTCACAACAATTCTGAAAACAAATCAAGTCTTTCAATGATTCGGAATTAATTCACACAGGATGATTGTTACTTTTGTTCTTTCATTGAAAGAGTTGATTGTCTTATTAACTAGATACTGTTGCCGAACGAAATCGATGAAGGTAATATCATAGCTGCATGAATCGTGAACGATAACCATGCAGAGCGCAGAAATAAAAGTTAACGTCAAAAAGAGAAGCGACAACCTTAAAAATAAAGCCACTCATAATCTGCGAATCAATCTGTACGATGACTGACTGCAACGGACGCAAATACTCGGATTCAGCACCAAACTGTGAAGGATTATGGTGCATCATTTGCATGGCTCTACGAAGAGTGAAAGTTGAGCGACGACACACCAACAATAAAGAATGCAATTTAAACGAGCGATGATTTTTTGAATGTGTATAAACATTGAACAATGTGATAGATTTTAAAAAACTAAAATTTTTAGCCGAGTCATTAAGAGAAATAAAATTAGTTTACTTAAAAAATGATGACCAATGTTGACGCAATATAGAATGATGTTGAACAATTTCATCGAATACAACCAAAGTTGATAATAAAGTACCAAGAGCTCGCCACGCTCTCAATAATTTACGCTCACGTACTCGACCTAATACATCATCCCTGTGCAAATTTTGCGTCGTTACGATTCATATTTCAGATGCTGATAAATATTTGAAAAACATTTGTAACAAAGGCGATAATTTTAAAAATATTGATAATGGCAATAATAAGACCAGTTCCTTAATGACTACTCTATGAGGAATATTACGTGGTGAGAAGAAAACATGATTTAAGCTAGAATGATAGAAAAAAAAATTAATCGAAGAGATTACTTCAAGACAAAGAAGTGATGCAGTTGCAGAATGAAGTTGCGGAATACTTCGTAGCAACGATTCACGAGAACCGACAGTTCTTGAAGGAACGGCAAGAAGCGTGCCATCATTTTCACCGATCCACCCTCTTTGTCCAAACATCCATCAACTACAACACTCATCTTTACCTCACCTACGCAATTCTGCTTTAAACAGGTACACTTGCCCGTAAGTAAAGTTCCACTGTGAACAATCGAATAGTGCATACAAGTTGGCTGACCTTTTACAACTGATAAAGAGCTGATTACCTGATAAAAATGCAAAAACAAATACGAACCATCTTCGCCATATGCAAGTAACGCATTGAAGTATTCAGTTTTTGCCAGATCTGTTAAGATTTCCACTTCTAATGCTAACGAAGCAAACGTCATAACACATTTATCAATCACAGCATTTCCACTTCGTGATAATTCCACTATTCCAATTGAATCTCGCACACCACTCTGAAACACAAAAGGTCATTCGACATCAAGCCTCTTTCGACTTCAATTCTATCACAAAATTAAAGCACAACTCAGGTATGAAAGTAAACGTTTAACAAATTTCTGAAAAATGATCATCGAAAAAATTGATGGAAACTGAAAAACAATTGCGTTGCAGTTTACTTTCGCTAACAGAACACATCGGTCTGATAATTTGCTTCGCGTTGCAACATTTTTCCAACACGGCAACCGATCGAGCAATGCAGCAAATTGGCGCAGCTGAATGATACTCGCTCTATCTGCAAAAAAAAAACATCACGACAAGACAGTCACTATGAAAATACGGTTCATTCAACTGAAATGAGTGAGTGCTCAATAAAGAAAATTTGCATGTTGGCGATGGATAGGAACAGTTAATTCGTACGGATGACAAAGTTAATAAATGCAACTGAGTGCTCAAAAAGAAACCTTCTCTTGGTTGATTCATTCGCATAACACCCGTTACAATGCACCGCCGAGACCGTCGATCACTGAAAAAGCAAAACGAAGATGTGGCATAAGCAAAGAAAAAGAAACACATCCCCCGACGAGCAAACTAGGCACGTCGCATATGAACAACCATTGCCACTTCCTCTTTTCACCACCATCAGAACTCATTTTAATGTGCAAGCATGAGATCATATGTGACAGCCAAAAACGATTATTACTTAAAACGATTAAACATATCCATTATGAGACTGAAATTAACTCGTTGCTTGACTTATTTGCACATGCTTGAATGGCTTCATGTTAAGAGGGTAGAATGTTCAGCGCCTGATTACAGCCCTTTTCTTTTCAGATTGCTAACTGTAAGTTTTGTTCATTGACAATTTAAGAAATTTAGTGATAGTAAACGGTGACTGTAAGAATTTATCGTTTATTAAGTGTCTTTATTGTACTGCATTTCTGTAGTGTTTGCATGAGATCACGGAATTCAGGTTCTGAAAAATATTGTGATTTGATTAAACTCGGTACTTTTTATAATTCTGTCAACATCGTCATCTCGAATCACGCATTAATCATCGCCATCTAATTCATATACACAACGATGAATCATCGTATAACGACGACAGCTCGACTTTCGTTTCTCACAAAACAAACTCCATTTACTTAAAATTGCGCACTTACTGTTAAAGTATGCCTTTGAACTACGTAAGTTAATCGCTACACGTTATAAAATAGATGAAAGCAGTAATTGTCCTCGTTGCTGGGAATATTTTCAAACGCTATGAAACTGTGCGGTGAAATTAAAAAACCAAAAGGATCGCCAACGAAAGGACTATTTGTGCATTTAACATCAAAGCACAGTACGCTATTCTGCGGCGGAATAAATGATTCAGAGCCCGCGACTGACCCACCGATTACCAAATTCCTCAAACCTAAACCTGCAACAACTACTGATTCACTTAATAAAATGCTCGCCGAACCTTGCCCCGTTGATGGTTTCAGTGTTAATATTGTTGCGAAAATATTATCCATACGCTTGACAAACTCGCATCATTTTTTCTGTATTCAAAAAGATACTCATTCATATGATCGTAATGCAACTGTTCGAGTAACTGATTACAAAGTGCAATGCTCACTGATAAGCTGACCAATAAGTGGAACTGACAGTGCAATCGGTAATGCAACACCTTGAAAATACTACAAAATAGTAACTTATTTATTATGTCTTCACAACGAATTCAGAACGAACAATAATAAATAACGATAATAATATTAATAACAATAATATTGTTATCTTCTATCAAATTTTTAAAATTCAGAAAGAAACAACAATAAAACAAACATATAACGATGCCAAATTCCGACAAGCAATCTTTGCTATTCCCTTTAATTTTAGACGACTTATCGATTATATTACAAATAATATCGAATTGAAATCAACATTTTAATCACATGAAAATTAACATTTTAATCACACGACTTTATTTATCATATAGATAACCACCAAATTAACTGCAAAAAGTACACAAATAAAACACAACAGTCCGTGCCAAACGAGACATCACAAGAAATGGACCCAGTGCTAGAGTTGTACGACCATAAACAACAATAAAACAATTCATTACTGAATAAACAAATGAAACGCAAACTTTTGCAAAACAAGCAATCTTTAAGACGTCCTATTGAACAGAGAATTAAAAATTTTAATGTTTAACAAACGAATCTCACAACTGAAATTTGAGAACAATGTTCAACGATAATTCATTGCTCTCATTTTACATTGAACTCATTTAATGGAATTGTTTTTTTTTCATTTGTTCAGACTTTTTTCTTTAGATAAAACCACTACTTTCTGTTTCTCATTTATGATCCTAACAAAAAAGCAAACTGCCAAAATTATTCAAGTTACTCATGGTCCACCTGTCGTAGCAGCCAGTTTTCATTTGCTACCGACAAAAAGCAATTGAAATAAGCTTAGTCTTTAATCAATTATTCGCTTTCTATGAATCCAATAAATGCCTCTATTTATAACTACTCTAAACGTCCTTTGTCCGAGTCTATTTCGACCAGATGTCTGTGTTTCAACCCGATCCGCAACCCGCCTCAGTTCAACGTTCTTTTTGACAGTCCATTTGACTATGTTGATATTAACTAAGCAAAATATAATAACGATCGCATAACAACTCGAAACGTTAAAGAAGAGAGGAAAGAAAATACTAAGATAAGATAAGACAAACTCAGAAGACGACTGTAAAGGAACAGCAAAAAGGGAGAGAATGAAGATGATGGAAGCACGTTCAACATGAAACGAACGGTATTGTCGGATAAAAGGCTTATTGAGGAGCGGAGGCAGAAATGAATATTAGACTGCAACTCACATAACGATGATACTATCGTATCAAATTATAAAACTTTAACCAATTTAACAAAGAACATCGCCATACCAACCGCTACCAAATCAACCAAACAATCACATCGATTTAAGATGTGGCTTAGAAATGATGATGACGATGATATTAGCCAATGGAAGTCGCTTATAGCTCATTGCCTGTGAAGTCACCATATTCCCAAATATTGCGATGCTCACGACGTGCCTTCTTTTCATCTTCAGCGTATTCGGATACCTGAATATTCACTTTAATGCAATGACTCGATGAAGTGAACGAAATTTCATTGAGAATAAGATTCGTTTGTAGCAGAAGTACAAGCGGTCGAGTGCTCAGCAAAGGATTTACACTCACTGAAAGCATAATATGATCATAAACACAATCAGAAACACCAACCAATGTCGCAAGTTTAATCTCGCGTCGATGATCGACAAGCGCGTGTCCTTCAGCGATCAGTGTCTTACCGACATCCGTTTTGGTGCCATCAGTTGATTCGATAATGATCTGAACGAACTCCAAACCGCCAATGCGATATTCGACATTGATCAATAATTTCGGTGCAGTGAAGACAAGCTGTTCAAATGCAGCATCTGTGCCCTGTGCATACTCTGGGTCATTTGGTATTTGCACCAGTGCTAACTGATATTCACGTGCACCAGCCGGATGCGCCGCGAATCCACTCGGTAATACAGCTAATGACGAGAATTCCACCGTTTCACGCTGAAAAACATTTGTTTCAGAAGGGTTAGTAGGACTGAATTGGACAGAATGATAATGAAATGAATTTGTTTTATGTCATTCTCAAAGAAACTTTTGTCGAATGTTCGTTGAGTAGTTTTCAAGAGCGAATAGCTAGCTATCGTTCATTTTCTCATAAGAATCGAAAGAGGATGCCATGTTGACAAACAGTCAGTCGCAGCGCTGTGAAAAGCTGATCTGCTGACAAATACGTTGGTGAACTAACTCACATATTGAATAAGTGCAACCGTAAACGTTTAAAGAAACGAATAATACAACTAACATTTCCAAAATCAATATATAATATTTCCGCATTCTTTCCCCTAACACCTTCCACTCTAGCACGATACCAAAGTTTATCAACCGAGAACCGTGCCACACACAAATCACCTCGACGCGGTGTATATGATCCTATTACCGGTGGATTTGTTTTCAACTCGTCACGTAAATCCTTCATCATTTGTTCCAGTTTTGGACCTTAAAATCAACGATCGTCTTAGCAACAATTTCTCTTAGCACGACGAATGAAGTGCGTTAGTCGAAATAATCGATGACCTTGGTCAACGTCTTGAGCTGCGAACTTCAGATTGCCTCGTTGCACATCCGTTACGATCACCGCACGGTAATTGACCGTGCGCTCGGATTTATCGGTAGCCGCCGCAGCCAGCTCTGCTTGAACAGCCGCATCTTCATCGGTCCAATTCGTCCAAATACCCAATTTAGCCTGCAACCAGTCGAACGAATAATCCATATTTCGTGCACTGATTCAAAGCGATGCAATTAATATCAAAAGCGCTACCTTGAACGTTCAACGATCATTCCCTGAACTATTTCATCTTGATAAAACAACTATCATGCTCTTATGACAAGAGTCAACAATGAGAATCAACATATATCCTTTTCCTTCATCACACATTTCTTACTCCAATTTATGAACAAATCAATAAACAAACTTTTTTCGCTCTTTGTTCGGCAGCTTGAAGTTGACTATAATAACTGCCTTTTTCAGCAGTAAAATGCACCGAAGCGAGTCCATTTTCTACCAATTCAACACTCATATTAACGGTTCCCTTCTCGGTCGCCAAGAACATATATCCAATAAAACTACCCGATTTATCCATTCCCTCTACTTCTATTTCGACCTGAAATAAACTCCTCAATCTCGATCGCCCAACAAAATTTGCAACAGGATAAGTGTTCACAAAGTAACGAGACTGACCTCGTGTTGTAACACTTTCGAACGAGTGAACTTAGCGGCTTCATCGGCGAATGGCTCCGATTCACCTATCATTTTACCTCCGGGTCCCATGCGTGCACCACGTGGGCAATTAATACCCGACAACAAAAAAGTGATAAGGCACGTCTCTTTCGGCACATATAATCGCACTCGACTTCCAGATGCGATGAATTCAACCACGCCTTCAGAACGACCCGATCTTTGGAGATAAGGAAGGAATTGCTTTGAACGCTGCGCATCCTTCAACACTCTTATTTATATCACTGAACACGATTGTGGTGTTGAGCTGCCCAATTCGAAAACATCATAGATAAGTAAGGATATAAACTGCAAACCCCTTGAAGCTCCTGAATCCTGAGCACTGAACCTTTATCACCGGTTTCTTTCTCCGAGAAAAGGCCTTTCTTACTCTTCTCGGCCTTTGCTTCAGCTGCCAATAAAGCATCGTACTGAGACGATCTGGAAACGATTCGGCTTTTTGAATGCTCAACTGTATCAATATTGTTAGTAATAATATCAGAGTTGATTGCTAAAAAGACGCTTGCCTATTATCATCATCGCTGCGATATCTGACTACTTTGGCAAGGCCTTTTGAGACCAACGCTTCGGCAACGTTCAACGCAGCTGACACGACTGTGCAACACGTTCTTTCGGGGTACATATCAGATTTTGGCTGCACATAATCGATTGTTACCTTCAAGTTTTGCACGTCAGAGTAACTGACAAATGCATCTTCAAACTGCTACTTGTTGTTCATATATTCAATAAGCAGATGGAGCATAAAATCAACTAAAACATTATTTCTCTGATAACAATTTCTATTCCTATGATAGCACTAACCTGAACTTTTTTACCAATTAACCTCTTACGAAGGAATTCCCTCGCCTCGAACATATACGGAATGTCATACAATGGTCTGAACTGACGGCCTATTTTATTCTCCGCTTCACGGTTCTCCTCTCTAGAAGCGAGTTAATGTGAGAAAATAACGAGCAGAACTAATGAGACGTCTTCATAAAACAACGAACAATAAACAATTAAAGAGCAACCTAGGTGGTCGTACAGATGATAGCCATATTTTCATCTCTTCACCACTCTCCTTTTGCACCACCAATGCATCACCCATCACAATTTCAACTACTTTCGCTGTGAACGTACGTTTATCTGCACTCAACTGATTGGATGGCTGATACGAACGCCATAATCGGAGACGTTTTTCTTTGGCGATTCTGAATTATATTCATTCATCTTCATTGGTGAAATTATATCACTGAAATTGCGTCAACGTTCTTGATGCTTTTGAATTGAACTCTTATCTCGTCCACCTCTCACACTGCAATTTTTCTCAAAGCCACCAACCTTTCAGCAGCTCTAAGTGGCTCAGGACCAGAAGTTGCAATACCGATCGACCAATCAACACATTTCGCGAAACCTTCTTTGAGAAGTGCTTCAGCGATATTGCCTTTTGGATGAACAATCGAACCAACTAAATTTTGATTCGAAACACCCTCCAGAATCAGCTCAACATCGCGTTGCAGTATACGGCACTCAACGAAGTATTTCGCCTCTTCAGCGAACTCTTCTGCACGTCCTTCTGGTCCCGAACGTGTGGCTGGTGCCTGCAAGAAAAGTGTTGGGTTGAACCACCAACAAGGACAGATAAGATAAGTTACCTTAACGCCTGACAAAATCAGTGTCACGTACTGAAAATCAGGCAACAGGAAAGCACGCACTGTTGAGCCGTCTCGAACTTGTTCAATAACTGCTTTAATAGGCCGTTGTTTATGCAAATCGACTAGTGCTCGTGGATTCTCCAATAACCACGTAATGTGACGAATCTTCAATTTAAAATTCCACTCAGAATGAACAACAATCTTTGAGATTGACAACAAGTGCTCATAGAAAGCACTGAAAATTCAAGAGTTCATTGAATGGAAGAGACATCTAAAAAACAGGTTAAATAGTACTGAACATTGCAACGGAACGTGTCAGCAACGAACAAATCACTTACATGTTCATGAGCATGACCTTCGTCTGCAGCCCATTTACCTTTCTTCGCGGATTTAGCGGACTCTTGAAGTTCAAGAAGTCTTGTTGTGTAGTCACTAAATTTGTCAACCTTTTTAGTCCGTAATCATAAATTCATCGATTGAAATTAAAAACTGGATTCAGTTAATATTGACTACTATACTGTAATGTCGATACTAATATTAAAGAAAACAATAGATTACTTCGAAGAAAAGCTCAACAAAAAAAATGGCAAAAACACTGAGCTGAATAGTGATGATCAACTTTTGACGATTGAACAATGTTGGCCAATAAAATGTATTCATTCATTCACTTTTGTCACAAAATAATTTTTAAAAAATGCGACGTATTAAAACCAACTCAGCAACACGACCAGCGCGAACCTCAACCCATCCTTCAGCAACGCATGACTCCGTTACATTTTCGGCATTATCTGGATCTAGAATTTTCGATTTTACAATAAATCTGTAGCAAAACAATTTGCGAAACTGTGCCACACATGAAAACCATATGCACTGAATTTCAGCATAGATCAACAAAACAAGTTTTCGATGAAGTCGATGAAACAGTTATGTTAACAAATAAACGAATATCAATTTTTTCCTAAAAATCTTTCTATAACAGCATTTACAAGGATGTAATTAAAACAAAAATAATTCAAAAGAACGTCGCCTTCGCAGAACAGGCACACTGTCAAAAATAACCTACTTGTTCCGCCCAAATAGATTCTACCATGTTCACGGCCCGATGTTGCCGTATAGTCACAACGAAATATCACATTCTGACCGATCAACTTGCGACGCAAAAATTCACGAGATCCCCAAGCGAATGGCTGTAGAACGGCATAGAATTAATCGATACTTATATTTATGGTAATAGCAATTAATTCAGTCAAAATGAACCGTTATCATTGAAATGAACGCAATTTCTTTTCCGGACTTGATTCGGGCTATTAAATCTACTGACTGATTCTTACGCCTTTCAAACAATCAAAAAACTATTGCATTTGGTATGCATACTGACGAACAGTTACTCTGCTCAGTAACGCAGACAATCGTTTGCATACAAAATAAACTACATGCGTATTATATCACACCGACCTCATCCTCTTTGCCTGGCTCTGTATCCGTTGGTCTCTTGGCAAGTCTCGGTGCAACCACATTGCTCAAATAAACGGTCATCTCTTTCGGTGGCCCATTCATTGGAGGTCCCTTAAACAAGCAAGCTTTTCGTTCACTTAAAAACTCAAAAGTAACTACTGTTCCATGTGAATATTATCCAACTGCAAGAAATTTTCATTGAATGCAAGTACAAACAAGTTTATACAACAATACATTCCAACCTTATTGCGTCAAATGTTGAATAGCAATAAAATGTTATGAAACCGACAATCTCTAAATTCTTAATAGTTATCTGGACATTTTCAATTTCATTATGAGACAGCAACGTTACTTCTAGGAATAAGTTGAGCAGAGAATAAGTGGTGTCATTTTGAAATACAGACAACAAAACGCTGGATCCAAAAAATAGCAACGATGAAATTCACCTGAAGAACGACAGCATCCCCACTGAGAACTTGCTTCACATAGCCTCGTTTAAACGATGTAGCCTGTGGCTGTTGTTGTGGCGTTTGACTCGGTTCAGTCATAGCTTCAGTCGCTTCCGAGGGATGTTGTCAAGTCGTCTGCAACAAGATAATTAGTTCGCTTGATTACAGTTCTATTTTTAAAATCACAGTTCGCGCAAGAACAGATAAAAATCACAACGTGTTACAGCAAATGCTGATAAATCATGTCTCTATGATAATTTATTAAAGCGATGCAGCAACAGCAGAACAACCTTTACCAACTGAAAGGATTAGCAAAAACGATAACAACTCAAATCGCTGAACAACTCTTTCGCATCATTTTCAAATTAAATTTTGCATTGAAACACATTCAGGCTTGAAGAAAAACTTGGTATATACAAAATAACGAATGCAGATAATTAGTTCTTGCTAAATCAGAAACAGGTGTTAATCATTCGGTGAATTAACTAATTTAAATTTGAACTTGACAAACTGAATGTTCTTAGATTCAAATTTGAATTTATTCAACTCAAACAAGTCAATACGAAAATTATTTCTAAACTGCACTTAGTTATATCCAACACGATTCTTTAAAAAAACGTTTCTTGTTCATTCACAACAGACTTACGTTCATGTCTAGATATTCAAAACAATTCACTCATATAACTGAAAACAAAAAAAAACAATTATTTACTTCAATTATGCACTACAAGCACTAAATTCACATTCATGCCACTAAATTCTCTCTATTCGTTGTCGAATGTTGAATACGAATAAATCAAATTAATAGTACTTCTCGCACTTACTGAGTCGAATAAAAAAACAGTTTATTCAAAAAAAATAAACATCTCTATCACAAAATTTTCCACAGTTCAATGCCAATTCGTAAGCAAATCTTTGCTGTTCTATATGTGTAACATGGGAAGAGTAAATCGAAAAAATTCTCACTACAGTATATCGAACTGCAACCCTGAATTTTTCAATTTCATCTTTCGCAGCAAAATTTCTTCGTTTATGTTCGCAAATCGCCATTTCATATAGAATTTGTTCAACAGGCGATTTTTATGCAAACTCTTTGAGCTGTAAAATCGCTTTGAGTGATTGTGAGAGAAATGGAGTGCAAAACGATTTGCGATGATGTTTTATCTGTTTATGTTCAGGGCAAAGAGCAGCACATGACGAAAATAATGAGCGGAGAGCCGGAAACAGACAGATTCTTCTTTCGATGGCCGCCGACGGAACTCTAGATGAGTATGATAAGAGCCATGATAATAATAATATGTACGGTGGTGATAACAGTGATAGTAGTGGTAATAATAATGATTGTAATAATGAGAGTAATAACGATAGTAATAATGAAAATAATAATGATAATAACAATAATAATAACAATAATAACAATAACAATAACAATAATGCTAATAGTAATAAGCATAATAATAACAATAATAATAGCAATGACAGTAACAATAATAATATTATTATTTAATGGCATCATGTCCAATTTTCTGTTAGTGGAAAAATCTATTCAGTTCTGAAGCTGCACCACAGAGCAAGATCATGCTGAGGTTTACAGAGGGCATCCGATCCACTATCATCGTAATGTCCGTATCAAAATCACTATCATTATTTTGAAATCATCTTCATCAAGCATTAAGCACCACGAGCATTTGTTTGTATCAGTTTCGTCATTCTGTCACTAGCATTCGAATTTTTGGGACCAACATTTTCATCATACTGTAAACATTGTACTTTCAGAATTCTCAAAACACCATTGCGATAAAAGGTTCAAAACAAAACATAAAAGATGTACATATTGGAAAGGCAACATATTTGTTGCATGTTTACATGGAATGTGTGCTAATAGCCAAAAAGAAGCAATTGTTCGAAAGCTGAGAAGCTATGTCTCAAGACATTATCTACAAATATGATCTTTCAGACATGGCAATGCACGAACATACGAAGGCTATAAAAGATGCGAGTCGAAGAGCTAAGGAGTCGGAGTCAGAGTCAGTTCAAATTACAAGCGTTCGTACTGTCCAAGTGATTAGCCAAGACGTGGCTCTCAAGTGTTTGTGTTCTGTTATATTATATGCATCAATCGTAATTGTATTAATCATCAGTAATATAATGTAACATAACATATTGTTATATTAATCATAACTGTAATCATATTCATCGCCACTCATACTCATTATTGTGATCCTCATCAATAATTCTAATTGCAATTATCGTCATTAATAAGTATTCCATAATAAATCTTATTCAATAGGTGGCTAAGTTAAAGTGGTTGTGTGTGCTGTGTTTTATTAACGAGTGTTTCTGATTAATTGTATTATTAGTTTTTATTATTATTATTATTATTATTATTATTATTACTCTCTTCAATACTATCCAGTATCATCTAGTCAGTCGAATGTTAAAATTTCTGTAGTTTACGTATTACACTAGGTAACATCCATTCCATTAAAACATTGTTCGTAGTAATCAAATCGTATGATAATTTTTAATATTTTGAATTGGAGAATGTATCAATTGAATGGCTCCGATGAAGTGTTTATTGCTAATAAACAGTCATAAATAATCTCATTATGATTTTTTTGTTAAATCATGCATTATTATTATTTCGTCGAAGGATGTTTGAGTTTTCTGCGGGGATGGTGGATGAACTGTTTCTCAAGTAATTCGGTGCTGGTCGCTGTTAGTGATTCGCATCCACCAGAAAACGTCGTATTTAATACCATTAGTGGGAGAGGAAAGGCCATCAGCGAGCGGTGAAACAATTACATAAAGACCAATTTATTGCGATTGATTATAAAAACTGCTGAGGGCTGTCTATGAGACATTCTCTCAGGAACTAACTAAAGGATGCGACTGTGATTCTGGATCAACACCATTCTCAGTTGTTGATCATACTTTGGACTCCAAGAGCAGCCTATTACAGAAATCGTTCAATAACAATTCTCAAAATCATCTTTTTTTCCAAGACAAAAAAACTGTGTTAGTCCTTGAACTGATACTCATCAATTATGTCAGTGATCAATGCTGTCGTAACAAAGTCCTCTTAATTGTCTCTTGAATGAGATCAACTTTTGTCAAAGGTTTTGGACCGACGCGTTCTGAATCGAATTCAAGCCTTCTGAACAGATCGGATCCTCAAAGCCCAGCGTTACACCAGTACTCAATCGGCCCACTGCTCAATCATTTCTATTTGATTTAAGTACTATCTTCTTTAAGTACTATCTATCATCATCATATGCTGGCTTTTCGCGCTAGTCGCTACAAATGTTGAAAAACGATTCGTTTTATCGAACGAAATATTTATCATCAAAAAACCTCATTAAAAAGAAACAAGGAGATGCAACACTCATCACCGGAAATATAATCATCCACAATGATAATGATTGTAGGAACAATAAAAGTAATTATATTATCAAAAGATTATGAACATAATAACAAATCAGAACCAATAACAAGTCAATCACATTCATGTGCTACATAACATATCATTCGTACATTATACAAACGAAACCAAAAGCAGTAGAAATTGAATTGAATTTGGGGTCTATTTAACTCGTTAAATGTATTTCCATCGAAGTGATCAACCAATATAATTCAACTAATTTTGCACTAACATATTTTATCAACAGACTCATATACTTATTTACTCATAAATGAAAATTGTTCTTACGATTAGAATATAAATAGAATTTTTTGTACTAAAAAGACTGAGTCATTTCATCTGAATTCACTTGAAAATGAATAAACCAAATATAGCAATTATTCGTTGAACCATCAAAACAAATTAACGTCCGTTTATTATGAAATTGTAATTGGAGGTTATCATCAGAAGCATATCCGTCAGTTACTACAGATTCAACAACCGTCGAATTTTTTGCGTTAGTTGAGGAAGCATCAGAGTTAAGAAACTTTTTGTTGTAGTAAAAAATCGACGGGTGATGGCCATTAAAACAGATTCAAACTGAATCTTGACACGTCCTCTTCATGGAAATTCACACGGTTATTAATTATTCAACTAAGTCACTCATTCATTACTTACCGAATTCTATCTATTACATTTTCACACAAATAAATGTTAAATGTCTAGTGATTCATATAATGTTTTGCCTGCGAAGAAGAAAAGGCCACCAAATGAAAGCCAATAAACGTTGATTTAGCAGAATCAAGCCCGCAAGAAGAACAAACCAAATTGTTAGAAATGTGACGAAGTAAGAGACGCAAACAAAACAAGACGACATGAAAACGAATAAATGAAAATAAACCGGATAAATGGATAATTTTGAGCTAATGAACCAGTTATTATTTGATAACAGTAATAAAAAAATAATAAAATTACTCAAAAACGAGTGATAATTCAAAACTACAAAACAACCTGGCCATCAGCGCAGATCACAATTCCATAAAACCAATCATATTCAACTCTCAATAATAATACTACAAGAATAGTAACGAACACAAATATATAGCAATAATTCAATCAAACTATATAGATTTGATATACATGATATGACAAACAAATATATATATACGAGTATAGTATGGAAATATCATATAATATAAATAATTACCATACATACACAGAATAAATTATTTATAGATAAATGTATAGAATATATGTATATATTAATGCAGTCAACTCTTGCTAGTCGCACTGCTTCCGATCTTGAACATTTACGGTTGCTAGAGGTAATCTGGGAGGAATGGATGATAATGAACTGAAAAAATGATGAGTATGAGGATTTGTTGATGCTGTGACCGAATAATTTAATCGAGAAGCATAAACTGGTTATAATCAATCCACCCCTCCCCCGCACCCACATTAGGTTGAAAGAATGGAAAAAAACCTCACATTCATTATAATTCCCCACTTAACTGCCCTTCGACTATTCTCTACCTTATAAAGCGTTCGTAAATAGCAAGAGTTCACTGATCGATCGATTGTGGTTGGTAAATGAATAATTTAGGATCATAAGTGTTTTGGTCTGTTGCACTCAAAAATTAATTGATGATTATTTAGAGATAAATGATAATAATGAATACAAACTTATCAGTGTACTGATGAAATTGATAGGCACACACAACCGACGCGAATACTCAGTTATAATAAATACAATATGTACTGCATAATGTAAACTTACTTTAAAGTTCTATAGACATCAGCTTACAACTAGAGCAAATAACTACGCATAAGCAATCAGTGAATCAATCAAGCTGGCATCATCTTACGATCTGCATTTATAAAGTCCATTTGCTCTTCACGAGGTGATGATGATGTTATTGCTTTACCGTTTTGCATTTGTAATTTCGGATGTAAACCATCGATGAACTTCTGTAATTTTTTGAGTAAAAATGAACTGAGTAAGTTCCAATAAGTGAATGAATCAAAAAGCAAGCAATCAAATGAACAAGTGAAACAAATGATCTGACCTGTTTCAAAGGGACATTTTTTCTAGCGATGAACAAAAAGTAGAGTGCATATAATGGAATGGCTACCATCGAACAAGAGGATAAAAAGAAGCCGAACATTTCAGCCCAGTATGGATACTCTTCTCCGTTCGGATATTTCAACGGTTTATATTTGACAACGCAAAAGAAGAATAACATCTGAAAATGCGATTTTAAGAATACTACATAAACAGATACAGGTGTGATGTTACACAAGGTGATTCGAGTTCACAATTCTGATGGTGACATCAAGAAAATGAAACATATGCAAACATCAAACACATAAATTACAATAAATATGAGTCATTATAGCCATTGCTAACAATAATTAACCAACTAACCATTGTTACAGATGGTGCTACAAATTTCCAAACAATCGTCCAGCAGTACGACAGTCCGAGACCGGTCATTTCTTTCAGTGCATTCCTTACATTATTTGCTCCTATAAAGTTTCAGTTCATTAATTCATTACATAAGCACATAACAAAACCATGCCGAAAACATCCTAAGCACTTTTTAAGTTATTTTTCGCGTCTTCGTGTGAGATGATACAAACAGAGGTTGAAACGAAAAAAAGAGGAGTAGCAAAGTAACAAATAAAAGAATCACCAAATCCCCATGCCAAGCCGATTACTTCAAAGAACACTACAAACAATAGTGCTATTCCACTCGCACCGTATGTATCGAACAGTGTTAACCAATACGCACCAGCCTTAAGTAATAACAGTTTGTGATGAAAAGAAACATATTCAATAAATTCAAAAGACACACTTCTTACTCAGTTCTATAACATTCACTATAACAGAGTTACTATCATCATCACTATCATTATCGCCTTTATTGATAACATTTTAAAAGTCAACACTGAGATTCACGACTTTTTATTCATTATTCCGTTATGCAGTATCTGTTTAGCAACGTAATAAATGAATTATGACAACACTCAAATGTATCATAATATAACGAATGACTCATACAGATGAATGAAAGAACGACAAAAGAATGGAGTGAACTAACATAAGAAACCATCGGAATGCCAATAATAAAGAATATCAAGCAAGTAACACCCAAAGATATTTTCTTATATCTTCTCAGGATCGATGGAAAGACATCCTCAATCGCCGTGAACAACCCTTCCATCATACACACCTTGAAATTCATCAATTGAATCATATGCACACCTACTCATTTGTTTTATTACGGATGTCAATTGTGCATTGCAGAATATTTTCAAATATTCGATGCTGATTTTTATTGTTATCATAATGAACATCTTATTACTGCTAAAATCATAAGCGGATTTTGCTAATCTAGCTCAACTTTACAGTTGACAATGGATAAATAGAGCAAACCAAACCTGGCTATCAACGCCGAGTATTGTAATCATTAAAAAGAAAAGGAATGCCCAAACTTGTTTCAACGGTAAATTACTCGCTACTTCGGGATACGCTTGAAAAGCAAGTCCAACACCTAGAATTTCAACCATTTATTACAGCTCAAAACATTTCCTTTTACATCATACAATGATCGCGACGATCGAGTTTTCACCAAATAATTCAATAAATGAAAATTAAATTCAAATGATGTGCTGCAAACAGACCCGGTTTTACGATTTGAGAAATATCTTTATTGGCGACAAATGACATATAACCGAGTATAGAAAACACCACAAATCCTGAAAGCGATTACCCTTTCATTTTAAACTCACTCAAATATGAATAAATAAATGAATAAACAAATTGATGAACGTATACATAAACGAAAGTTTAAAAAATGAATGAATTTATACAAAATGCATAAATGCTCACCTGCCAAAACGCTAGTCATTCCGTTGATGAAACACATTAAAAACGCATCTCTGAAATTTTAAATTGAACATTTTGCTAATGAGCGTTTCATATGGAATATAACTTTAATAAATCAATGCTAATCTCAGTGAAAATAAAGTTTACTACTAGCCTGAAGCAGTTATGATTGAATTTATTGTGTGATCCAAGTGCTATTAACGCTCCAAATCCAACACCATATGAATAGAAAACCTTAAAATGAGGAAGAATTAAGTTACTCCATTAAATCAAATCTTGAAAAAAATCTTTATTTGATACGAACGAATCCTTAAAAAATTCTTATGCAACGAACCTGAGTGCCAGCATCTTTCCAAACGCTTGTTTCACCAAGTTTCGTTATGTTTGGTATCAAATAATAAGAAATACCTTTAGCTGCACCCGGTAACGTAATACCACGTATCAACAGAACGAACAACAGAAAATATGGAAACAGTGCGCAAAAATATACCAACTGCAAGCGAATATTAATGAATTTGCGATGGTAAGTTTATGATTAAACCGTAATGAGTCTTTGTATAATATAAGCGAGCAGGATCTTTGATTAATTTTCGGAACCAACAATTGCTTTTATACGAATGAAATAAGAATCAAATCAAAAAAGAATATGAAAGGAGACAGACCTTTCTTGCTTGAGTGATTCCTTTCCATAGAGCAAAGTAAATGATAAGCCAAGCGATAAACATTATTCCCAAAAGTTCCCATTGTATTCCACCAAAATTCGAGATCGAATCACTTTGCATCAATACACGACGCCTGAAAAAAGAAAATGCGCCTTAAATCCCATTTTGAAATGATTAAAACTTGTTCCTTTAGGGTGGATGATGGAGTGCAAATTCCAGAAAGCTTCAGCTCACTCAACTAGCGAAATGAAGGACTCAAGAATGCTCAACATAATTCCTTCTTCAATAAATTTTTCCCCTCTTCAGCATAGTCCTCTTCAGAAAACAAAATTGGAATTACAATAGAATTTTTCCTAAGATAACAAAAACCAACCGAATTGGCTGTTTTTCTGTTCGAAAATTGGAATTCAATTTCTTGTTGACCATTCTTATCCCATTTTATCAAACTCATCTCACCTTTCTACCCCATTTGGATTGAAGGCCATTTTTTTAATCAATTTATACATATATACATACACATACAAACATACATACACATATTATATACAATTGATTGATGTTACATTACAATTGAAATGATCATTTTACATCTAAAATTCTTAAATTTATAATAACGTGCCCAGAAAAGCACGCTCATTTCTTTCGATCATAGGGAGGAGTTTCTTTTTGTTTTTAGTTAATAAAATTTTTGCAATTTTCAATCGCTTCCCCAGAAATCCTCCTGTTATCGTCATCGTCAGAAGTGAAAACATTCTTTTAGCCTCTTTGTGCACACCGATTCAATCGCGCAAATACACTCGTTATAATTCATTCAAACAACCACTAGAGAAAGACACATGCACGCACCCATCACACAAATACACCCTAAGAAAATAATTTTCAGTTCTTGAAATATTTCCATTGCTGTGCATGCCTACAGAGTGACGTATGCAAATGGAATGGCTACAAGAAAACTAAATCGCCTACCCCGGTCCACTATGAAATTCTGGAGGACAACTGAAAACTGTGACTGAGAGCGTTTTTTTTTTGGAACTGATTAATGCCTTCTTGGTGTTGATAGAACTTTATGAAGTCGCATTATATGATGAACCTGATCGCACAAATGTTGGGTACACGATACTGATATGCATGAGCTTGATGATACAAGCGAAAAAGGAACATAACTAGTTTTGAAGCATCAAACGAGGAGGATTAATCGAATGAAAAAAAGCGAAAATAACCCGTCACAAAAACGAATCGTTCCTCCTCCCTTCGATCGATCGAAGAAATGATCAGTTGGCTAATAATGAATAAAATGCAATACATTCGTTCTTTTCTCTTCATCATCTCAATCCGAAATCTACAATAATCACAATAATTCTACTTCTATAACTATCCTTATCATTCTAATCCTATACTGATTGATTCTTAATAACTAACTAAAGTTGTAAATTTAAACTATTCAAAAAAGTTGATACGGTAATTTTCGAAGCAAGTCGCAAACGAGTGAGCTGAGAATGTCTGTTTGTGTGTGTGTCTGTGTGGGAGTGAGTGAGAGATCAATCAGATAGATCAACAAGCAATATCATTCAACAATCATGAAACGTTGAACCGATAGAGAGATCAATGTACTCTCACCAATAAATCAACTGAACTGCTGAAAATAAAGTATTTAGACAAAATTTATATTAGCACCATTAACCATTGAATTCAATTTAGTTTTTGTTCCACTTTTATCGTTATATTCATCGAATTTCATATTAATTATATCAATTTGTTATTGTAAATCGAATAAAACAATTCATATAAACAATAGCAATAAGAAACAATAATAAAACTGGCATCATTCATTCACACACACTTACCAACGAACATACCAAATCAAATAGTTTTTAAGACTGAGAACAACAATTTCTACATTAAATGATAATAATGATGATGACTACAATCAAGAATTATCCTTCGACCGCAGGAAAATTTTTTTATCTGACGTGAATATGGAGTTTTATGAATCAATGTTGGAGAATCACTCATAGTATTTTCAAGAAAATCGCAGCTAAGAGAGACAACTGATTCTATATACTCATTTCATCACATATGCCATACCACACTCAATCACATCAACTATTTTAATCACATCATAAAGACAAACACACGGACCTGCAAACGGACATAGACGAAATCGGCGAACTTTGATAGCCTGATGGAGTTTTTCCTCCGGTCGAAGGAATGAAATGACTATAAGAGAGATAGGGAGAAGGAGAGGAGGGGTTGACACACACCTCCCTTAACGAGTATTATTTCGTTTTTCGTTCAAATATTACGTTTCAGTTGAGCAAAACGCTTTGGGTGAGATTCTTTTCAATTGGTTACGAAGGTTCTGAGATATAAATGACGAGAAAGACGATTGAGTACTGAAGAGACAATTTGGAATGATATCGAATTGAGCAAGGGATGATAACTTAAACATGAATAAACGAATGAGTTAATCTAATGAGTGACTCAAAGCGAAAGGAAAACAGACAAATTGAATCAGTCGAGAATTTTGAAGAACCTGATTTAATTGTTGATTCTGATTGGAAGAAAGAATAAATAAAACTTTAAAAGCATACTCCCAAAATTGCTCCACGCTTGTTTCAGTTCGTTCTCCAGCCAATGTAAGATTATTTATAATTCCGGCCAAAACGGTTGTATTCTCTTTGCCCGTTATACACTGTTTCGTGTTCCTTAAATCAATGAGATTAACGTTACTCATCAATGATACAGAAGCAATATCCATTTAATAAGCACAACATTCATCGTCATTTATCTTTGCATTGGCACGTGCAAAGATATGCTTTTCAGTAGAAAATATAGTTTTTCTTTTGAGAGAAGGGAGTCACTCATCAGTCGACAGTATAAACAAACACCAAAGTGTTGGCCATAACATTTTTCAGTGATACTTTTAGAAATTTTCGGAGGTTTTATCCGCACACCTCGACCCGAGATAGATGAATATTCATAAAGACTCCTCATTTCAGACATATAATTAATAACATTCGAGAATTTGCTCAAAACATACTTATGTGCAAACTACAATAAATTCAAGCACAAAGACTGTGTTTGAAGGAAGACAAAACAAATGAGTTTATCCGAGATTCTCTTTCGGTATTGATGTAATCGTTGATATGTGAATGGAGTGAACATCAGATAAGTGACAGATGGATGAACGAATCATGGGGTAGATACGAAAATGATTAATCTGATAGCTTTTTCGTTCATTCCTGCTTAATATTTTCATATTTTTTCGATGGATTATTTCCGATGAATGTGTCATTTGATGATATCTGCTCTCATCTCATCTAATTGCGTTTCGATAACAAAACCGAGTGGCACAAACAAATTTTCATCTGCATCGAACAACCGACGAATACTAACAAAAAAAGAACGGAATGCTTTTAGTGTGCATTGCTCAGTTTTATGTTGTTGCTTATCGCTCCTCTCACTGCTTGCAGCTGAGTCAATGAGGAAAAGCGAGAGATCGTGTGGGTGGAAAATGACGGTGTTCATTCATTTGTTGTGAATGAGCAGTGCCTTACCATCTCAAAATTGCAAATTCCTACTTGTACAATATATTTAAAGAATGTTGAAGTGATTGAATGAATACGAGCATTAGTAATGGTTGGAATGCACTGCTGATTAGATATTATGATTTACCTTGAAGATAGTTTCGTCAGTGGCATAACGATGATAACGATATCAGTAAACATTTCTGAACTGGACCACACAAAATCTAATAATCACATCCACTAACAATTATGGTGATGCAAAATTTTATCTTAGAGAAGGGCTTGAAAAAAGGTAGTATTGCTAATCATTATTCACAAATCAACTAACCAATAATTGTCGCATGTTTCCCACGGGAACGTTGAGCTTAAAGAGCTGATCATATAAAATATAGACCAACTAATTATGACACAGAAGTATGAAATGCACATGAACGCAATTACAATATTGCCAATACCAACACCTGCAACACTCATCTTATCTAACTGTATTATTCAGAACATTCAACTTCAACAAATTTCCACCCTTAATCACCTTTAAAAAGTGGGCACATATTCCACATTTCCATTGCGCCACGCTGCAAGTACTGCCCAATGGTGACCTCCATAATGAAGATTGGTACAGCGCTTAGACTGAAAAATAGTCCATAGACAACCAAAAATGATCCTGAAAAGTGAATGACGCATTATTAAAATTCTAAAACATATTTTTTGCATCTGAGTTGAACTAATCCGATACACTTATGCACAACTTCCTCTCTGATATGGACTACGTGTCACCTAATCTGATTCTTTTTAATGTTTTTTAACGCACTCAGAGCAGCAGTTTTCGAGCAGAAACCTTAGATTAAGAATGCCCACCCAAGTGAATATCGAAAATAACCGCCAGAATACCATAACAAAAACAACAAATCAAATCAAAGAAAAACTCTTCGACCATACATGAAGTAATGAATAAAACTTAACGACATTGTGACACTTGTTTCAGGAGAATAATGAATCGAGCAACTAATTAATTCATATTAAAAAGCATACCTCCACCGTTTTTGAAGCAAAGATAAGGAAAGCGCCACACGTTCCCTGAAAAATCGAGCTTGGTTCAATTCTTCCAAATAAACAACAACGATTGCTCAATGGCTAATAAAAGACCATAATAATAATAACAAATAGACCAAAACTAAGCAGTTCCAACCTAGTCCGACCGCATAAGCGATCATTGACATGAGAAAATCAAAACGACCAGTCCATTGTCCACGGTCAACAGATTCGGCACCAAGAATTGATAACCGCCGTGTTAACTGCTTCGATTCAGTACTCATTGAATCGGTGGTCTTCTCATCTGAGTTGTTCTCTTTGCAATCCATCTCATCGAAAGATGACTGTCGTACTTTCGGCATTATTCCTTTAGAATATGCAACATTATTTCATCTCAGTAAAACAATTCTGATAGGCAGCAATAATCAAATGAATATATGTTTCGATCTCTTTTATCACATACCGTTTGTTTTATTCATCTATAAAGGCACAACATAAAACTACAGTCGCAATGCAATGAATATTTATCGGTAACGTCGTTCGGTGACTACTTTTCGTCGAGCAATCTTGTGTCACTTTCTTCCTATATATATATGTATATATATATATAATTTGGTGGAATACACTGAAAAAGATGGTTTGTTGTTTCATGTGGTTTATCGAACATTGTGATCTATTGGTTGTCGATAGGAATGAGCAGCAGTCGTGTTACTTCCTATGACATTCGTTCAACTACGAAACGACTGATGTGATTGTGATAAAGACAATCGTTATGTAACAATCCATTCACAAAATCGCTTTGCAATATATAAATATTTATTGCCGTTCGTATCATTTACACTTACGTTTGTATTTGATTCGAATTTCATTCGTAAGATCCAAAAAAAGAAAGACTCAATTTGAGATGTGCAGATGACTAATCATTTGGAAATTTCCTTTGCAAATTCAATGAGAGAATAAAAAAAAACTTCGTTTCTACTATAATTGTTGATCAATAAAATATTCTTGCGAAAGCGCAGTGCATTAGCAATGTGAACACGACAGAATGCTGCTATAAAATGCAAATAAAACGCATTCGATTGCAAATTCTCTTCCTCTATCAACGTCAATATGAACAGATTGCAGTGAACCTTCAGCCAAAATGCTCAAAAATAATATTACTGTGCAAACATTACACCAAACAACTGCTTGGCCATACTAACATCAGGGGGATTATTCGAAGAATAAATAAAAAGTTATATTTCTATCCACGAAAGTTTAAACCATTTCAGATAGTTTGCATTTTGAAAAAACAGTATGAGATTGGTAACGAGTAAGAATAAATATGTAAATGAACAGATGTTGAAAAACGATAGAAATGGTACAGAAGGATGTGTAAGAAAATCTCGAGTAGGTGAACGAAGAGAATCAGAATAAAACTGTAACACACACAACATGCATAATGCATCATTGTCAAGATCACACTTTTCAATTCTCCAAACTGAATACTTCCCAAAATTTTCGTAATGTCAACATTCATGGTTTTAGAACCGATATAGGGCCATTTTTGAATAGACAGAATCAGTCCACTTCTACGGTAAGGTCTGATAATAAGTTTATACAAACATAGAGATTTTTTCAATGAAGAAAGCAGTAATATCAACAGAATACTTTTTATTATAATAATAATGGTAATAATAATAATAATAATAATAATAATAATAATAATAACGCACTGACATATTTGAATACATGAGCGCGTCAGTGAACTTAAAGAATTATACTTCGATAATAAGTTTACATAAAACAGGAGCTTTTTCAATGAAAGGGGTGTAGTAAACATCAGTGGATTCATATGAATGACACTTGCAGTAGTGATAGTGATAAAACAGTAATACTGATATAGTGATACGAATCAAGATGAATGTTCAAATGATATTCTGACATTTCTATACACACTAAAATGCATGAAATACTTTTACAATAGGCGTTCGAAAGTGAATGAATAATTGCTATGAAATATTTATTTATTCAGCTTGATTTCATGGCCTAATATTCTAAACGCTAATGCTTGAAAGCAACTGATTGTGAGTTTAAAACGAGATAGATGCTCTATTTTATACCACATAAAATTGAGAGGAGAAAGTTTTTATGAAAACAAATCATCATAAATTCAATAAGCTCACTATACGTATACATAAAGGTACACATGAATGCATTTACTCCAATAAATCAAAGCATAATTTCAACAAGAAGGATGAGAATTCAACACGTGTTAATTAATAAATCAATTATCGAGCTACTAAGTGCAATAATAAATTCCACAAAGAGAATCTGATCTTCATTCGAACGTAAGTGAACGAATAAATGCAAACAAACACTTTTCTGGAACTTAAAGCTTACAGAAATACTGATCGATATATATATA